GGCTTCTGTAGCTCTTAGATTCCTTCAAGAGATTTAAAACCCGTGTGCAGCTCCTCCCATTGTGAACGCCGGGATGGGCGAGGGGAGGAGGGAGCAAGCCGTCTTCCGCCAGCGCCAGCGTTCCCCCACCTAGACGCGCAAGCCCTCCTTCGTTTTTCCTGTTTGGTATCAGTGCACGGTCTCCCCCCAGGGCCATGAGCAGAGTCTCCTGTGTGTTCTTGTAAATGCTTTCCCAGACTAAGATCTAGCTCTTCTCTCTTTAGCCAGTTGTCCAATACCAAGCTTATCCCATCCTGCAACACTGCTTTATCACTGCTGGATCTGGGTTTGTCTGTTTGTGTGTATCTGTGGCCCAGCTTCATGTTTTCCACTTTCCTCCATTCTCACATCACCACTAGACTTTGGGAGCTACTGCAGCTTTAGAGTAAATATAATAGCTGGTAGGGTGTGCTCCCCTCTTTCTTCTTCTTTTTCAAAACTCGCTTCCCAACTCTTGCCAAACTTCACTGAAAATCCTGTTGGACTATCTTGCTTATTGGAATTGCACTGAATGAATATAGCTAAATCTGGGAGAACTGAAAATTTTGCAATTTCAAATTGAACATCTTTCCTAACTATTTTCTTTGTTTCTAATTATCACCTGCTTCAGGACTTGGGATGACGTATTCACAGGACCCAGCCTTTACGTTTAAGGCATGGGGCCTGTTGCTGAAGGTGCATTAGAATCCTCATCCTAGTTTGCATTCTCACTAGGAATTCACCACATTGTTCTACTCTTCCCACTCCAGCCAGAATGTCCTAAGACTTTTCTCGGTTTCAAAAGTGCGAAGATTTTCCCACATAAGGCAACATGCATTCTCAGAGAGGTACTCCCTCCAGTCCATGCTGGATGGCCATTCATGGATGTAAGAAGGTGAAAGAGTGTTGAAAACACATCTGTGGTGTGTGGATGGAGGCGCGCAGGTGGCTGGAAGGGGCTGCGGGGTGGAGCTGGCATGGGTCCAGCCCCGAATTTGGCCCCCACCGCCTGGGCTTTCACTCGTGTCCTGAGCTTTTGGCCTTGGTTGTTGGCTGGCCTGGTACTTTCTCGTCTCCCTGTAGCCTGGATGAGCTTTGTCGCCTGAGAGGACAGACCTGCTCCTGTCCAGCCTGTCCTGGGGAGTCCTGGGGCACCGAGGAGCTGGCCCTGGGAGTTCGCAGGATTGACCCCAGCCCTGCCCATGCCCTCCCCTGTCTGTAGAGACAGAGGCACCTGGGTCTCTGCAGCCCCTCCTGCCCTTGGTCCTGGGTCTGTTCACAGAAGCACCCCCCCATCCTGGAAAGGGGTCTTTTGGTCAGACCGTCCAGAGGGTGATGAGTACAGGGGAGGCTGAAGCAGATCTTTTCAGAAGTGGAGGTGTCCTGGACCCTCAGTGTGGGAGGGTCTCAAAGAGACCCCAGGCCTCCGCTCTACTTGGATGCCTCTGGTGACAGGAGGCTCAGAACTTAACGGGCATCGAGTTCATTTCAGACAGTAGTAGGGGAGCCCCGGCAACTGAACAATTGAACAACAATGATGAGGAGGGACCCCCAGAACTCCGGGCTACCTGTTTCCTGGAGCTCCTGGCCATTGCTGTGACCAGCAGTTCGCTGCCCCCTCCCCTTTCCTGGGAGCCCCTCCTCAGCCCTGAGTCTCCATGGGGGAGCAGCAATAGCATCGGCCACTGCCCTGCAGCCCCGGGGAAGGAAAAGCTTCTACTTACTGGAAATTTTTACCAGCTTTCTATTTCATTCCTTCCATATGCCTGGCCTTGTGCTAAGTGATCTACATTTTGTTTTAATAATGCATGAAAAATCATGCAAGGTAACTAGATATTACTCCTTTTTTTTTTCCCATTAGGGAAGCTGTTCCCCATTTGGCCTATTCCTAGTAACTTGGCCACGGCCTCTCCCTGCAGCCCTGGGGAGGTCACTCTCCTTGGAGGTCTGGGACCCCAGAGCCGATCACTTCAGCGTCAACCTCCTCAACCCAATCATGGTGCAGATGGGTAAACTGAGGCCCAGGGGCTGAGTCACACAGCTGAGATAAAGGCAGGACTGGGACTGGCCCCGCCCCCAGGCCTGCACCGAATCGCTGTGACGTGATTCCACCCTGGGCGTGGCCTCAGGACTCAACCCAGGATCTACGCGGGTTAGGACAGGCTGAGTTAGGACAGGCAGCATTGTGCAGATGTCTGTCCTGTTGGTTAGGGCAGTCTACCCCATCCTTTTGGTTGGCTGAGTAAATCGCCCCCTTTCCTACTGGCTTGGAGACCACACCAAGTTGTGGCCGCCGGCAGGAGCCCAGGGGAGGGTGTGCATGGATACCCTGCTGTGAATGCCCTTGGCATGTTGGTAACTTAAAGGCCCGGCCACGTGGGGGTCGTGTTTTCACTTGCAGAGAGCCTAGCTGGTCACTGCCCCTGTCGCAGGTGAGGACGCGTGTGCTGGGTCTCATGAGAGCTGGTGGCTGGACTTGGGCTCCGAGGAGGAGTCACAAGGAGGCTCCCGGCTGGGCTGAGCCCCCTAGGACCGGCCCCCTGTGGTCCTGATGGCCCGGGGCTGCCCGACCCTCTTCCTGCTGCGCTGCCGAGGCTGCCTGGGGGCAGCTCCGGGCACTGGCCTCCCTCGGGGGCTCCCAGCACAGGGGCACTGTTAGGGCTTGAGGAGGAGGACATGAAACAGCTCTGCTGTGCCGGGGCTCGGGGCACACTTGGTTCACGTGGATTTTGCCTTTCTGCCAGGTGGGGCTGAAGCTCTGCGTGCCCAGCGTCACTGGCTGGCCCCGTGCCGGTGACTGGGCTGCTGTCCACAGGGACACTCGGCCCCGTGTGCTGCTGCTTTGGAACTGGGGGTGACACCTCACCACACCTCGCAATTCCTGGCCTTTCAGGGCCCCGGGCCGCTCCCCCTGGACATACTCCACCCTGACCGTGGCCTGTGGGGGAGTGGGCCACAGCCCGCCGTACTGGACAGAGCTCACTTGTCCTTGCTGGGTCTCCAGGGCCCCCTGGGAGGGGGAGGGACGGGAGAAAGCAGGTGCCCTATGCGCCAGGTCCTGCCCGCCCCCGGGTTCCCCTCCTGGGAGTCCGGGGGCCACCCTCCTAAATGGGAAGGATGGAGCATCAGGTGGGCCCCTCTGCCGCATAGAGGCCTTGCTTCTGCCTGAGTCCCCACCTCTTCAGCCTGGAAACTAAGCCCCTCTTGCCTGCCCTCATCTGTGTCTCGGGTGCTGCTCCATCCACTCACCTCCTGCCTGTGGGCTTCCAGCCCAGGGAGGTCAGTCCTGTTGAGCTGGCACAGACCTAGCTCGGAGGCTGTCCGGGGCCCACGTCCCCAGCAGGACTGCCTGCTCCGTGTGAGTGTGGCCCACAAGTGGACGTGACGGCCAGCTTCACCTTCACACCTGGGGAGCGACCAACACTGGCTGCTTCCCCACCCTCCTTCCTCAGGCACAGACCCCGAGCTGGGTCTCACTGTGGGCCTCCAAGCCTCAGTTTCTTTTCTGGGTTTTCTCTTCTGTTTGTTCCTAATATATCACCAAAGTAACACATTGCAGACGTGGCATCGAGGTCCATCGGGGCTGGGAGGGTCTCTGTGAGAAGCAGCCCCACCCGTGCCTCCGACCCTGGAGTCCCCGTGTCCTGGTTTGTCTGCACCATTTAGCTCCCCCCGGGACAGTCAGCTTGTCTGCACCGTCGCGCCATCAGCGACACCTCAGCACTTGACACTTGTCTCCCGTCTTCCTGCCATGCTTTCTGTGTGTTGATTAATGTAGTGTGTTGTTTACAACAGCAGGACTGGTGAATAGTCTCTCCTGCTGCTCGAGTGCACTCTGCTTCTGTGTTTTTTTTTTAATATTTATTTATCTGGCTGAGTCGGGTCTTGGTTGCTGTATGTGGATTGTTGTTTATCATGTGGATCTTTCCTTGGGGCTCACAGAGCCTCTAGTTGCGGTGCTTGGGCTTAGTTGCCATGTGGTGTGTGAGATCTTAGTTCTCTGACCAGGGATCAAACCCTCATCCCCTGCACTGGAAAGTGGATTCTTTGCCTCTGGACCATCAGGGAAGTCCCTATATTTTCCTTCTTGTAGAAGATTTTATCAGAAATAACTGACAGTTGATGTGTGGGTTCATCACTGATCTCTGATCAAAGCCTCGGATGGACGCTTCTCTGCAAGCTTCCGGCCTTGCAGCAGTCTTGCCCCTGGGTGGGTCCCCTCCCCTGCCCTCTGATGGGGGGGTCCTCGTCCAGGCAGCCCCAGGGCCCTCCTGGGACCCCTTCACCGTCCTCTGGCTGGGACGCCACCCATGTCTTCCTCATGTGNAAAAATGTTTCTTGACTTATTTTTGGTTGTGCTGTGTCTCTGTTGCTGTGTGGGCTTTTCTCTAGTTGTGGTGAGCAGGGTTACACTCTAGCTGCGTTGTGCGGGCTTCTCTTTCTGCAGGGCACAGGCTCTAGGGCACGTGAGCTCACTGGAGGTGGTGCGGAGGCTTAGTTGCTCTGCCGTGTGGGATCCTGGACCAGTGGTCAAACCCGTGTCTCCTGCCCTGGCAGCTGCAGTCTCCTGAACCCAAGCCGCCGGTGAAGCCCTGCCTTTCGGTGGTTTCCGCCCGGTCCTCAGCTGGCCGGCCCCATCTTTTCTTCATGTGGGGCTCCCCCATGTGCATTTCTCTAAGTTGCCTTGGGCAGCCCCACTCAGCCTGTGACTGCAGAGGCACCTGCCGTCTTTCCCCTCCCGGAGTGAATTAGCTGCTTCTTGTCAGGCTGCCGCTTTCTCAGGCTCCTCTCATCCCATTGACTGTCTTCCCTAAAATGCGAGGCCTTTCTCACGCACAGCCGCCCACTCCGTCCCTCTTCCTCATGAACTGGTCATCCGAGTGGGTGTCGCCGGGGCTGGACTAGAGGGGGTTCAATGGCCAGAAATGCCTGCCCTGCCTTTCTGGATACTGTTTCTAACTCATGTCTCCCTTCTCCCCAAGGTGTCTCCCCTGCTCACTGGGGCTCCCACCGCTGCTAGGAGTGACCCACAGAGGCCGCAGAGATGGCCGGGGCCTCGGTGAAGGTGGCGGTGCGCGTCCGCCCCTTCAACTCTCGGGAGATGAGCCGCGAGTCCAAGTGTATCATCCAGATGTCGGGGAGCACCACCAGTGAGTACCATGTGCGGCCCCAGGGCCCCCTCATCCACACCATGCGTGGTTTCCTGGGGCTGCAGGAACAGAGGCCACAAATCGGGTGGCTTAAAACCGCAGTAGTATTTTCTCTCGCAGTCGTTGGGGCCAGAGTTCAAACCCGAGGTGCTGACGGGGGGGCCTCCGGGTGGTGGTGCGGAGGAGGACTCTTCCTGCCTCTTGTGGCCTCCGGCGACGGCCACGCCTACACACCCCTCCCCCTGCTCTATTGTCACGGGGCTTCTCCCCTTCGTGTCTGGGTCTCTGTGTGGCCTCGTACAGACACTGACCAGTGGACTTAGGAGCAACCCTGATCCAGTGTGACCTCATTTCAACAGCTACGTTCATCTTCAGAGATCCTGCTTCTCCCATTCTGAGGTTTGGGGGAGACGTGAATTTGGGGAGGGTACTTTTCAGCCCAGGACACAAGGTTCTTGATTTCTTATCTTGTGTGTGCTCTTTATTTCTAATTGTAAGTCATCTCAAACCTTTCTGAGAAGTAGGAAGCATGGGGTCGACAGGAAGACGTAGTGAGAGAAAGGGTGGCAGTTTTGAGAGGGTCAGTGTGGCCTGCAGGCCCCTCCAGGGCACATACCCGGCTGCCGGAGTCTCAGAGACTCAGCCCTGTGCCCGCGTGCTCTGGGGCCTCTCTGTTGACTTGGGGCATGTCATCAGAAGAGTGGACAGGGTGTGTGATCCCAGGGATAGTGGAAAGGGTCTGTGCTCCCCGAGAGAGGGGACAGGGAGCGTGCTCCCGGGGAGAGGGGACGGAGCGCGTGCTCCTAGGGAGCACTGAGCCATTCCCAGACCAAGAAGCAGGGTGTTGCTGACACCTGGAGGCCCATCCGCCCCCACCCACCTTCACCCACCCTAGAGTAGGCATCTTTGCTTCTCACATTGGGGGCCAGCAGGCTTGTTTGGGGCCCCAGAAGTGGAACCAGCATTTGGATCACCTCCTGCTGACCAGGAACCCAGCCCCACGCTTGGTGTCAGGTAGGAATTCTTCGTCTCCCAGCTGTGTGGTTGGCGTGGCTTGGCGGGCAGCTTGCACCTGGAGCTGTCGCCTGTGGGCTCCTTGGTGGAACCTGCACCCAGTGGTCCTCAGGTTGTAGGAGGAGGACAGGGAGCCCTGGGGGTGGGAGGTGGGGTGGGGGACAACTTCCGTCGTCCACAGGGTTGGAGGGAGGGTCTGCCCCGGGGGAGGGGCACTCGGGGTGGATGCTGGCTGCCTCCCAGTGCTGTGAGGGCTGAGGATTCGGGCATGGCTGGGGGGTGTCCTGTCCTGGGGGTGTCATGCCCTGGGGGTGTCCTGGGGCACCACTGGGATCTGGGGAAGGGGATCTGGGCTGGGGGTCTTTGCAGGAGCCCTGGGGCATGTTGTAGAGGCCCCGGGAGGAGCCTGTGAGGGGGACTGTTGAGCACAGCACCCAGGTACATCGAGGGCTCATAGTGACTCTCATCAATGGTGGTGTCTCCACCGGGTGCCCGGCAGCAGACCTGAGATGAGGGTTCAGGTGCCCTGGTCTCACTGTGGGGGTGCAGAAGCTGCGGAGGGGCGTTGGTGAGCAGGTGGCCACCACGGGCAGCAGGAACAGGGCCCAGCTTGCTGGGACCTGTTGATATAGGACACGCCTCTGGGTGACCTCCCCAGGAAGCTGGGGTCTTGTCAGCTACTGCCCCCACGCAGGCAGAGGGCTGTCCAGGGCCTGCTCTGTTAAATCTCCAGCCTGGCCCTCTTGAGGCCGGAGACGGTGTTACAGCAGGGACCCTATTTCTGTAAGGTCATAGGTCACATTCTGAGGTTCTGGTGGACATGAACTTGGGGAGGACGGTACTCAGCCTAGGCGAGTGCCTGTGGCAGGGTGGACGCCTTCAAGGCCAGGCTATCCAGCCCCACCAGGCCCCACAGGCCCTTGCCCAGCCTGGCCTCCCTGCCTGCAAGGAGGCTGGACCCTGGCCAGCTGGGCCTGCTGTGTGCTTCAGGGAACGGACTGCCTTTCTGGAAGGTCCATCGGGACCCCCCTGACGGCCTCCTCTGCCCACACAGACCCTGCTGGTTGCACAAAGGCCCTTGTTGACCAGCAGCTCGTGTGTGTTCTCAACACCCAAGTCCTCAGAGAAGTTGGCCCCACATGCCATCACTGTTCTAGAATGTTCTGGGCTTCAAACAGAGTGACCCTGGTCCTGGGAGACCACAGAAGGGAGCATGGTGTGGCCAGGAGGTGGTGACCTGGCTGCGAGCTTGTGTATTGGAGGAATGGCTCGGACACGTGGTGTCAAGGCGGGGCCCTGGTCAGCAGCCGTGGCGAGGGGCTGGGGGCCCGCTGTCACCGGCGGGCCCCAGGCCAGGATGCCCTGGGCACTCCCTGCCTTGAGCTGCCTCTCCCCGGGGCCCACCTGTGAGGGTCGAGACGGGCTGTCCACTTGCAGGGGCCACACGGCCTCCTTTTCTGCCTTGAGCCCCTCAGGGCTGAGGGTGCTTCCGTAGCATAGGGGAAAAGAGGCTGGGTGGGGTCAGGTCAATACCCCTCAGAACCCGGGAGAAGAAGGTGGGGGGGGTCCCTTCATACCCATGTCGGAGGGGACATCACTGAGCCCCAGCCTGCACCAGGCTCCATTCCCAGTGTCAGGCCTGGGGAGCAGGACTGAGGCCCTCACTGACCTGGGGGTGACATTCCCGTGGGGACTCAAACATGGAACTAGACGGGCCAGGGACAGGGACCATGCCTGGCGGAGCATTGCGAGGGCCTTGCTGGGGGCGCAGCAGCCTTGCTGGGCAGGATGACTCCTCCTGCTACCCGGAGGACCCTCCTGACATGAGCCCAATGCCGAGAGAATGTCCCCTAGATGCCTGACACTGATGTTTCTGTCTCTGTCTCAGCGAGGCCGCTTCCTAAATCTCACAGGTGGTGAGCAGTGGCCTGTCACTTAACTAGCCCCTCACTTGCTCTGACGCACACACACACACACACACACACACACTCACCCACCCTCTGTTTGCCCATTTCCATGGTGTAAATACTGTCCTTGCATCAGTTCCAAGCCCCCTGGGGTTCAACCCCAGACCCACGGAATTCCTCAGCGTTGAGCACACGCTCCTGGAAGGAGTGGAGGCGGCTCCCGGCGTGTGGGGCTTTCAGACTCCGAGAAAGCGGCTCATCCTGGTTCAGCCCCTGCCCTGCTGTTCCCGCCCCACAGCGCCCGTCTTTTCCCCTGTGTGCCCGTGGCAGGGGCGGAGGCGCTGAGTCCCTGACAAGCCCAGGCTCCCGGCCCCTCCTCAGACCCTCAGGAGGAGGAGACACGAGGCTACACAGGAAGCCCCCCTCCACCAGATCGCCTCGGTGCTGGGGGGTGGGTGCTGCCCTGTCCCCCTGGCCCAGGGAGGTTGCCCTGGTGAGGGCTCACAGGTGTTGGTGGAGAGCAGGCCTGGACTGGACCCTGGGGAGGGCCGTCCCCTCTGGAGCCCAGGACCGTCTGTGATGGGGACATCACAGGACCCCGGGGCTAGAACAGGGTGGGGTCACAGTCACACCACGGACCCTGCGCCAGTGGGAGAGGGGGCAGGTGACAGCAGGTCCAGAGCCAGAGCAACTCCACCCGCTGGTCTCCCCGCGGGCTCTCCTTGAGGCCACTCCCCACTCACTGACCCTGGCAACGGGCTGTCCCCTGCCCATTCCAGGTTCCTTGAGCACGTCTGTGCCCTGTCCCTGGGGGGCCGGGGGCTCCAGTGCAGGCGGACACCCCAGCGCCCGGACAGCATCAACACCGGGGCAGGGGTGGGGGGCAGGGGTTGCAGCCAGTGAAGGAGAGGGGGCTGGGCAGGGTGGGCCGACAGGGTGGGCAGAGCTGGGGCGCTGGTGGGTGCCAGGGCCTGTGTGCACTCAGGGGGCTCTGTGATTGTCGTTTCCACGGCGCTGGCATTATCTGTGCCGAGGTTCCGGCGGCCACGTCCCCACGTCCAGCGGGAGTTGAAACCCAGGCAGCTAGGTCTCCTTTCAGCCTCACTCCTGGAGGCGGCATGGATGACGTGACCCCCTTTTGGCTCCAAAGAAAAGGCTGTGATGGTCAGTCACCCGCTCCCTCCTGCCGGCCTCCCAGGGGTGCTGAGTCATCAACTAGAACTCCTCAAACCTGGGGCATGGGGCCTGGAGCCGGGTCAGCCCGGAGGACTGGGCTTCTGGTAACTCCTGGGCCGTGAGCAAGACCTTCCGGAGCACACAGCAAGGGCCCTGCCTGCCGAGCTGGTCAAGGCCAGGGTGGCCAGGGTTGGGGTGCAGGTCCCAGTGTCCCAGGGCTCCAGAGAGCAGAGTGCCGCAGACAGGGCCGCTTAGACAATAGGTCCCGAGGCTGTTGAGTCCGGATCAAGGAGTCACCGGCTGTGACATCAAGGTGTTCCTTCTGAGGGGGAGGAGAATCTACTCCCTACCTCTCTCACCTCTTTTTCTTGTTGCTCAGTCGCTCAGTTGTGTCCAACTCTTTGTGACCCCATGGACTGCAGCATACCAGCCTTCCCCGTCCTTCACTATCTCCCAGAGTTTATTCAAACTCATGTCCATTGAGTCAGTGATGCCATCCAGCCATCTCATCCTCTTGTCGGCCCCTTCTCCTCCTGCCTGCAGTCTTTCCCAGCATCAGGATCTTTTCGAATGAGTCAGCTCTTCACATCAGGTGGCCACAGTATTGGAGCTTCAGCATCAGTGCTTCCAGGGAATATTCAGGGTAGATCCCTTTAGGATTGACTGGTTTGATCTCCTTGGAGTCCAGGGGACTCTCGAGAGTCTCGTCCAAACCACGGTTTGAAAGTGTCAGTTCTTCGGCGCTCAGCCTTCGCTATGGCTCTCGCCTCTAGTGGTTTCTGGAGATGCTGGTGTCTGCTGGCCTGCAGAAGCTCGGTCGTGGTCTCCGCCTCCATCTTCACGCGGCCTTCCCCACGTGTGTGTCCATGGCACGTCCCTTTATAAGAACACCAGTCCCGTGGTGTCAGGGCCATCCACTCCAGTGCCCCCTCCTCCTTACCAGGCCCACTTGCCAGACCCTGTCTCCAAATAACGTCACATCCCGAGTCCTGTGGTCAGGACTCCATGTGTGAATTCTGACAGGGGTCAGGACTCAGTGATGTGTGAATTCTGAGGGCCGTAACTCAGCCTGCTGCAGGGGTGGGGTCTGCTCTCTCAGTGAGAGTTATAGGTCACCCAGGACACGGCTGGCAGGGCAGGGTGTGGGGTCCTGGAGCTCAGGAAGGCGAGGGCCCCAGCCCCCGGCAGCTGAGGAAAGCCGGTCCAAGGGGTGGGCAGCATGGCCTGCATCTCCAAGTACGGGGAGGAGGGTGCCGCGCTCCTCAAATGGGATGCCATGGTGGGGAGTGGCCTGGAGCCCTCTCCCACTGGGACGCCCGAGTTCCTGAGGGAGGTGTGTCCTTGCAGGGCAGCGCTAACCATTCCGGATCAAGGAGTCACCGGCTGTGACATCAAGGTGTTCCTTCTGAGGGGGAGGAGAATCTACTCCCTACCTCTCTCACCTCTTTTTCTTGTTGCTCAGTCGCTCAGTTGTGTCCAACTCTTTGTGACCCCATGGACTGCAGCATACCAGCCTTCCCCGTCCTTCACTATCTCCCAGAGTTTATTCAAACTCATGTCCATTGAGTCAGTGATGCCATCCAGCCATCTCATCCTCTTGTCGGCCCCTTCTCCTCCTGCCTGCAGTCTTTCCCAGCATCAGGATCTTTTCGAATGAGTCAGCTCTTCACATCAGGTGGCCACAGTATTGGAGCTTCAGCATCAGTGCTTCCAGGGAATATTCAGGGTAGATCCCTTTAGGATTGACTGGTTTGATCTCCTTGGAGTCCAGGGGACTCTCGAGAGTCTCGTCCAAACCACGGTTTGAAAGTGTCAGTTCTTCGGCGCTCAGCCTTCGCTATGGCTCTCGCCTCTAGTGGTTTCTGGAGATGCTGGTGTCTGCTGGCCTGCAGAAGCTCGGTCGTGGTCTCCGCCTCCATCTTCACGCGGCCTTCCCCACGTGTGTGTCCGTGGCACGTCCCTTTATAAGAACACCAGTCCCGTGGTGTCAGGGCCATCCACTCCAGTGCCCCCTCCTCCTTACCAGGCCCACTTGCCAGACCCTGTCTCCAAATAACGTCACATCCCGAGTCCTGTGGTCAGGACTCCATGTGTGAATTCTGACAGGGGTCAGGACTCAGTGATGTGTGAATTCTGAGGGCCGTAACTCAGCCTGCTGCAGGGGTGGGGTCTGCTCTCTCAGTGAGAGTTATAGGTCACCCAGGACACGGCTGGCAGGGCAGGGTGTGGGGTCCTGGAGCTCAGGAAGGCGAGGGCCCCAGCCCCCGGCAGCTGAGGAAAGCCGGTCCAAGGGGTGGGCAGCATGGCCTGCATCTCCAAGTACGGGGAGGAGGGTGCCGCGCTCCTCAAATGGGATGCCATGGTGGGGAGTGGCCTGGAGCCCTCTCCCACTGGGACGCCCGAGTTCCTGAGGGAGGTGTGTCCTTGCAGGGCAGCGCTAACCATTATGCCTGTCTCCCTCCCTGCAGCCATCGTTAACCCCAAACAGCCCAAGGAGACGCCCAAAAGCTTCAGCTTCGACTACTCCTACTGGTCACACACCTCGGTGAGCCCAGGGCGGGTTCCGGGGGGTGGAAGCCAGCTCCGCCCTGCTCACTGTGTGATCCTCCGCCAGTCCCTTGAGCTCTCTGAGTCAGTGGGGTGAGGGACCCACCCGCTCCCCTGCAGGACTGATGTGGGAGGGGTGGGCCTAGGTGGAGGCCCGCGGGGCGGGGCCTGCTTTCCTCAGTTGTCTTTTCTGCCGGTGCTACATGCACTGTCCCCTGCTGTGACGGGGACCAAGGGGCTGTTAGCGCACCAGGGGCAGTTTCCCAGGGTCTGAGCTGTACGCCCACTTGCCCTCCAGCCTCTCCTCTTCCCCAGACATCCCAGGCTCAGTGTCCGAAGCTGATCCTGCCCACCTGACACCGGCCTGCCCACGCCCTCCTCCACTCCACTTCCCCTGGGAGCCTGGGAGAACTCTGGGCTTTTCACCCCCCACCTCCTCCATCCAGTCCACACCCAGTCTTGCCATCCCCCAGCCCCCTGCATCCTAGAAGGTGTCCAGGCCCTCTGCCCCTGGGCCAGGGCCCACCTTGAGTCACATCTCTGAGAGCCTGGTCCCAGGGCTCCCCATTTCACCTTCCAGCCCCTCCTCTCCCACAGTCAGGGTACCCCTGGTCCTGCCTAAAGTGACCGCTGTCTTCAGGACAGTGTCCAGGGGTGATAGCCCAGCCTATGGGCCCCTACCCTGCTGCCTCTCCAGTCCCACCTTGTCACTCCACGGCCACCACACCAAGCTTGGTTTCAGGCACCACGTTATGTACTCCCACCTCCCAGGCTTTGCACATGCTGTTCCCTCTGCAGAAATGCCCTTCCCTCTGTGAGGCCCAAGCCTGATGGCTTCTCCTACCGCTCCCTCCGGAAGCCCCCCCCCCCCATTATTTCCCCCCTCCAGGTGTCCTGTGAGGGGGTGGGCGGGCAGGCGTCCTCTCCACCGCACTGGCCCTGGCCCCCGGAAGCCCATGGTGCGATGCGGGTGCTCAGAGAACCTGGCGGGCGGAGGTCTCGGCACCCCAGCTTCCTGCAGCTTCTCCCCTCTCCTCCTGCAGCCGGAAGACATCAACTACGCCTCTCAGAAGCAGGTGTACCGCGACATCGGCGAGGAGATGCTGCAGCACGCCTTTGAAGGCTACAACGTCTGCATCTTCGCCTATGGACAGACTGGGGCTGGCAAGTCCTACACCATGATGGGCAAGCAGGAGAAGGACCAGCAGGGCATCATCCCGCAGGCACGTGGCGGGCGGAGCGGGTCCTGCGGAGGGCTGCGCGGATGGGGTGTGGTCTGAAGCTGGCTCGGGCGGGACCTGGGGCGGGGCCTGAAGAAGGCTGTGCAGATGGAGTGTGGTCTGAGGCTGGGTGGGGCGGGGCCTGGGGCGGGAGGAGGCCCGGGGAGGGCGGGGCCTGGGAAGGGCGGAACAGGCCCCCCGGAGAGCAGGGACCAGGAGGGAAGGTAAACCAGGAGGAGGTTGGGGCCTGGGCAGGAGGCAGCATGGGGCAGACTGGCTGTGAAGAGGCTGGAGACCCAGGTCCATGGATGGGGAGCTGCGGGAGGGGCCCAGCCCTGGCCAGCGACCACCGCGGTCACACCCATGACAGGAAGGCTGGGACAGCTGCTGGTGGTGTCAGCCTTTCCTGGGGAGAGCTGTGAGGGCTGGTGGTCCAGGCAGGGAGAGGTGCTCAGGACAGAGGATGCCCACTAGGCAGGTCTCCAAATCTGAGCTGGTCAGTACTGGACTTGGTCAGGGAGGGGAGAATGTCAGGTGGTCTGCAGCATGGTAGATCCTCCACCTCATGCAGGTGAGGATGGTGGGAGGAGCAGGAGAGGATCAGATGTCAGCCGGGGGCCCCTGAGTTATCAGAAGGCAGTGACTCCTTGGCTGCAGGCCTTCTCCGTGCCTTTAAGGTGGACCATGAGGGTGTGGGAGGGGCTTGGGGAGCAGAATCCTTGCTGGGGTGCGGAGCCCAGCACCTCGAGAAGCAGGGCTCTGGGGTCAGCCGAGCCTCACATCTGACCGTGTCCTCTATCCCGGCAGCTCTGCGAGGACCTCTTCTCCCGCATCAACGACACTACCAACGATAACATGTCCTACTCCGTGGAGGTAGGTCTCCCGCCACCTGTCCCTTGGAGTATGGTTTTTCTGACCAAAAGCCAATCCCCCCACTGGTCTGTGCCCTTATCTTGTCATTCTTGCATGTATGTTGCAAATGTGCCTGCCCCACGCTGGACACTGGAAGGGGCAGTGTTATCTCCATGGTGTTTATTGAGCAGCTACTCTGAGCTGCATGGTTTGGGCTGGGCTGTGGCCAAGGTGGCCCCAGTGTGACCTCCTTGGGCCAGCCGGCAGCATGGCTGTGGGTGGGCAAGGCCAGGCAGGCGGGGGTGGGCTGATACCTCTACTTACACATTCCAGCAGGGGCCCTGGTCCCAGTGGGTGACTTGGGCACATGGTGTACCCTATTTCCCCCACCTTGGGGGTCCCTGATGTCAACTCTGTCCTGCAGGTCAGCTACATGGAGATTTACTGTGAGCGTGTCCGTGACCTCCTGAACCCCAAGAACAAGGGCAACCTGCGTGTGCGGGAGCACCCACTGCTGGGTCCCTACGTGGAGGACCTGTCCAAGCTGGCGGTCACCTCCTATAATGACATCCAAGACCTCATGGACTCAGGGAACAAGGCCCGGTGTGTGCGAGTGATGCGCCCACCCTCCCTGCCCACCCCATCACAAGTGCAGCCTTGAGTCTCTCTGAGGAAGACCGGGCCTTGGGGTGCCTGTTGGTGTTCTCATGGGGCTTGTCCAGGGCCCCCATTGGGCCTAAGGCCATTTAGGGCACATGCCTGCCTGTGAGGGACCTCCAGCTCGCCCAGTACAGGAGATACCATCACCTACACAGGGCTTGCTCCTCCTAGAGGCTCTGGCTATGGCTACCCTGGGTGGGGCCAGGCTGTGAGGCCCAGCTCTGCCTGCTCGGGGCGTGTAGAGAGGGTTAGCCTCAAGGCACTGCCAGCCACAGCTATTGGTCTCCATGGCTGCAATGCCCTGGACCTCCCAGCCCAGGAGGATCTGCCCTGGTCGTCATGGCAACAGCCGCCCGTCTGCTACCTAGGGGCTCCTGGGAGGGTGAGGAAGACTGGGTGGGCAGCCGACACCTGGCACTCAGTTGTAGCCCCGCGGGGACCTCTCTGCAGGGAGCTATCAGGCAGTGAGCCCAGCCTGGGGCTTCCCCGGGGTCTCTGCATGTTGGTGGCACTGGGTCCAACACTGGCCTCTGGTCAGGCAGCCTCAGGCCTTCTCCTGGAGCAACTGGCATGGGATGTGACAGTGGACCCCTCTTTCCCTTCCTGGGGGGCCTTTCCACATCACTGCCCACAGACCACTGCCCCAAGCGTTGAGTGAGCAATAACTGGGCTCTGTTGAACCCCTGGAAGCCGAGAGACCCCCCAGTCACAGCTCCCCAAGTGCCAGGCTTGAGCTAGAGGCTGCAGGAGCCACAGTGGATGAGGTGGGCAGGTGGCGTGGGCCCTGCCCGAGCTCTGACAAGACGGCCCCGGCAGACGTCTCATGTTCTCGCCTGTGGCACTCACGTCCGACCATGGGATGTCAGGTGACCGTGTGTGGCTTCTGTTCCCCAGGACGGTGGCGGCTACGAACATGAATGAGACCAGCAGCCGCTCCCATGCCGTCTTCAACATCATCTTCACGCAGAAGCGCCATGACGCGGAGACCAACATCACCACGGAGAAAGTGAGCCGGCTGTGAGGGTCGGGTGGGGCAGGGCGGCGGTCAGGCGGGGCGAGGAGGCCAAGCTGGATATTAACTGCAAGGTGCTGGTGGCACCTTCACGGGGCACTGACAGCCCACTACCCAGCCTGGGCCACGGTGAGAGTCTGGCAAGGCCTGAGAGGCCACCTCATCTCGGCCTTTGGTGCCACCTGGGTGTGGCTGGGACTCAGCTGAGGGGCTGTGACCTTAGATCAGCTTCCCGCCAGGTAGTTATGGTGGGGCCTGGGAAGGGTGTCCCCTGGGCTGCACCGCAGGACAGCCCCGCTGCCCGGGGACGCCTCGGGGCCCTCACAGGGCGGAGTTGAAGGCCTCAGGTTGAGTGAGTGCCTGTCACCGGCTGACCGTGGCCGCGGTGCAGGCTGGGGACACCCCCCGACTGTGGGTGCTGGCATCTGTGAGCACAAAGGAGAGCTTGTGCTGAGCACCCTGCCGTGCCCTCCTCCCCAGATGCCGCTCCCACGCACCCTGGCCTTGTGAGAGGACCAGGACAGGGGCCTCGTCTCCTGGGGTCTTTACCAGGCACACTGACCGAGGGTGCCGGATGGGGCAGGGGGGCGGGCGCCTTCCGTGGCCCTGACCCTAAGCCTCCTGTTATCTCTGACGGCCCCCACGCCCACCCTGCCATCCAGGCCGTGTTCCGGGACGGCTCGGCTGCCTCCTGTGTACAGGGTTCTCTCAGGCAGCCCCCTGGGCTCTGCACAGGGGCTCCTCAGTCCCTGATGATGCCAGGGTCGCCTTGGCCTGGCAGCATTCTCCCGGGGGCCTGGGAGGGCGGGAGCGCAGAACTGGGCCTGAGCCGGCCTGGCTGCGGGCTGCCTGCCGCTCCTACACCTCAGGCTCTGGGCGCTGGGGGGTCCTGCATGCAGCTTCCGTGGCTCTGAAGGGTGTGGACCTCCCCCAGGAGCATGTGGCGGCCCGCCCAGGCTGAGCGAGTGCAGGGGTCCCTCCCCATTGCTGGGGCAGCTCTGTGGGCAGCTGCACACCCACAGGCCAGCTGAACAGTGGCAGAGGGGCTCCCGGAACTGGGTTCAAATCCCACCGTGCAGTGAACCTGGCCTTTGGAGTGGGTTTCAGTCATGGTGACGTGAGGGTGAAGAGCAGCCAGCACGCAGGGGGCAGCGGGGCGCCAGGTGTGGGGGTGGGGTGCAGCCTCCCAGGGGCAGTGGGCTCCCATGGCAGAGCAGCAAGAGCTGACGGTGGATGACATTGGCCCGGGAGGGTGGGCCCTGCAGGCCGCACCCCAGGGGACAGGCCCCACTGGGCATCCAGCTCCTGCGTGTGACACCTATGTCCTCACAGGTGAGCAAAATCAGCCTGGTGGACCTGGCTGGGAGTGAGCGGGCCGACTCCACGGGGGCCAAGGGCACGCGCCTGAAGGTAGGGCTGCCCCCAGGAGGGTCTGCACCTACTACCACTGACTGCCCAGCGGGGCCTGACGCCCGGGTGGTCTGAGGGGAGGGGGACAGCGCAGCTCAGGGGAAAGTGGACTGACACCCAGTGGGGTGGCAGGGAGGGGAGTTGATTTCCTGTGCCCCCTTTGGTCCTGCCATCATGGGATGGGGAGGGCGGGAGGGTTCACGGGGCCCCCAGGCCAGGGGGCCTCCATCAGGGCAGCCTGGCTCAGGTCGGGGTCTCAGGGGAGGAGGAGCTCCGAGGCCACCTGACACCAGCTGCGTTATCCCCTGCAGGAGGGAGCCAACATCAACAAGTCCCTGACCACCCTGGGCAAGGTCATCTCCGCGCTGGCCGAGATGGTGAGTGGGCCCGGGCTACCGCTCGGGGGGCAGGGCAGGGGTGGGGGACACTGGGAGCAGCCCCTTGCCCAGGCCCTGTCCATGCTGTGGGCTGGGCTCCCGGGAAAGCCGCAGAGTGTGGGGAGGGAGTCCCCGGCTGGAGGCGGAGCCGGGACCCCATCGTTCCTCAGAGCCTGTGAGACCGGGATGTGCCATCTCCCTCACAGGCCCTGAGGGTGGCCTTGGGCTCCAGGTGCTATGACCCTGGGTGCCCCCCAGGCCGCCCCTCAGGAGGAGCTGAGACTTTCGAGTGAGGGCTCGGCCTGGTGGAGGATGTGGGGTGTGTGAACTCAGATCCCGCTCCATCCTGCTCTGAGGGCTGAGGGCAGAGCAAGGGCCGGCGGCCGTGACGGGCAGCAGGGGGGTGTGGGCAGAGCTGGGGCCTTCGCCCCAGGCCCAGAGCTCTGTCCTCAGACTCTGTGTTTGCTTTTGCAGGATTCTGGGCCCAACAAGGTAAGTAGCGCTTCCTCTCTTCTGGGGGAAGGTCTCAGCCCTTGGTGGGGAACGGGGAGGCGGTGGGGGCCTAGGACACAGCAGCCCTGCTCGGAGCTGGGCCGGGCCCGTGAGCGGAGAGCAGGCTGCGGGGTGGATGAGAGATGGCAGGAGACTAGGAAATAATCATGAACTAACAGGGATGAGCCTCGTAAAGGACAGGGCCAGGCTGTGAGGGTGACCCAAGTGGGCGCCTCTTGTCGGCATGGCCTGGGGGGCGTCACGGGAGAGGCGGCCCCAGGGCGCCTGGGGGGCGTGGAGGAGCTGAGTGGGCAGGCAGTGCCCCTGTGCAGCCCTGAGTCCTGAGGCGTGAGGTGGGAAGAGCTTGGTCAGTGTGGGGGGCAGTGGGAGGACACGGGCATTAGGGCTCATGAGAAGGCAGGAGAGGGACCACACAAGCATCTGAGAGGAACTAGCTCAACTGTGAAGGTGCCGTGCGGATGTGTGTGAGCAGCTGTGAGAGGAGGCGCGTGCCATGGCAGGGGATCCAGAAGTGGGCTGTGAGGAGCTCTGTGAGGAGGTGAGCGATCACAGGAAACGGGACACCGTGTGTACAACCGTGAGGAACCGTGAGAAGCTCTGGGGCAGGTGTCAGGGCCTGTGTAGAAGTGTGAGGAAAGGCAAGTGCAACTGTTGAAGAACTGTGGGTGAGTGTGGATCGTGTCGGGGGAGGTCGGCACATGACCCTGTGAGGAGACGGAGGGCCTCTGGGAATTGTAAGGAGCTGTGTGAAGACCGAGAAACTGTGTGTGGAAGGCGCGGGAATTATGTGCAGAGCTGGAAGTCTGACGGTGTGTGCGGAGCTGTGTGAGGAAGCATGTGAAGCTGCGGCTCAGCGGGAACCTTGGGGAGGGTCTCTGAGGACCATGGAGTGCCCGTGAGAGGAAGCAGATAAGGACCCGCTGGGTGAGGAGGTATGAGTCATTGTGTGAGACGCTGAGAGAGCCATGAGGAACCGTTAGACCGTTAGACCGTTAAACCGCTAGCAACAGTGTGGGACGGTGCTGGGACCAGCGCAAAGGCCTGGGAGGAGGGCTGTGTAAGAAGGTGTGAGGAGCGTGTGGGAACTGTGTGCAAAATTGTGAGGAATCGTGTGGACTCTGGGGAGCTGAGGAAATGTGAGATGAAGTGTGTGAGATGGTGTGAGGAGCGTGAGGGACGCGTGTGTGGAGCTTGTGGTGAATGATGAGAGGAACTGTGTGAGGAGTTGTGTGGGGACCAGAGAGGTGTGTGAGATGGTGTGAGGGGCGTGAGGGACGTGTGTGTGGAGCCTGTGGTGAATGATGAGAGGAACTGTGTGAGGAGTTGTGTGGGGACCAGAGAGGTGTGTGAGATGGTGTGAGGAGCGTGAGGGACGTGTGTGTGGAGCCTGTGGTGAATGATGAGAGGAACTGTGTGAGGAGTTGTGTGGGGATGCGTGTGAGTGACCTGTAGGAGCTGTGAGGAGCTGTAAGGGATCCCGTGACAAACGGCGACAAGCTGGGGAAACACGAGAAACTGTGTGATGCAGTGCAGGAACTCAGGTGAGAAACTGAAGGATGGCGTGATGAGCCGTGCCAGTAGCTCAGCCAGCAGAGCGGGAGGAACCATGTGGGGAACCATGTGAAGGACTGAGGAGGGGACTGTCAGGCGCTGTGGTGACTCCCAGGAGCTGAGCAAGAAGGTTTTGAAGAGCCAGTTGAGGGTCAGCCCTGGACGCAGGAGCGTGGGTGCCTGCAGGTGTTGAGGCCTGAGGGCCAGGCATGACCTGCTCCCCAGCGGTGTCAGGAAGCAGCTGGCTGGGGTGTGGTGGGAGGTCGCCATGGGTCGGCTGTGGGCTGGTGAAGACTGGCGGCATCTGGATGCGCCCTCGGGCTGCTGTGTAGGGTGCAGCTGGCGGGGGTGGCCGGGTGGCAGGCAGGGCAGCAAGGGTCACGGGGGTGAAGGTCCCGGGGCTGAGGTGCTCGGGCCACACCAACGGAGCAGAGGGAAGACCTGTGAGGGAGCTGCCAGCTAGGCCCCCTCATGCGGTGACTGCGTGACCACAGGGCATTTACTGTGGGAACGGGTCTGACAAAGGCAGCAGAGAGTCACCGTTGAGGGTAAAGTAATAGAAACACAAGGTGGACGTCGAGTCTGTCACCACCAAGTTTGCAAAGGAAAGCCTCCCTGGGCCGAGGAGGAGCTGCGGGGATTGGACGCTCTCAAACCCACTCAGTAACCCTACCCCACGGCTGGTCTCGGGGACTTCCAGGACTCTCGATCCTGCAGGTTCTGGGCCTGAAGAGCAGCAGCCCGTGTCTGTGTGATTCCTGAGGGGCCTGGGACAGACAAGGGGGAGGCTGAGGAATGTGCTGGCAGGTCCCCAATTCCAGTCCCAGCAGGGGCGCCCAGGGTCTAGGGGGAGAGGCTGTGAGGGCAGGCCCAGCCCCGAGCCCTGGGCAGCCAGCCCATGCGCCCCGTGCCTGCCCCCCTGACCCCACCTCAGGTGGGCTCGGGGCTGACCTTGGATGTCTGTGTCCCATAGAACAAGAAAAAGAAGAAGACAGACTTCATTCCCTACAGAGACTCGGTGCTGACCTGGCTCCTCCGGGAAAACCTAGGTGAGGGCTCACCCAGCCTGGGATCTGACATTCACCATGGGTGCCACCTTCGCCCCTGCTCTGCCCCGGAGGGCACCCATCCTTCCCCGGCTGAGCGGCGGGCCCAGGGGCTCCTCCTGGGGGACCAGGGCGGTGTCAGCAGTGGGTTTACGCCACCAGGCTGGGGGCAGTTGACCCTCGGGGCCGCAGGTCTGCAGCCCTCACGTTGGTGCCCCCAGCTCGGGGCAGTGGCGCCCTACCTGTCACAGGGACTTGCCTCCCCCCGTCTGGTGACCCCGGGGAGCCCTGCTGGCTGTCCGGAGCTGCCTTGCTTCCCCGCCCTCCCCTCCAGCTGAGCTCTGAGCCAGTGAGAGGGAGATGGAGCCTGAAACACCCCAACACCCATGTGTTCTGCCCAAAATGACCTTGGGGTCCTCGCTACCTACCTTTACAGAAGGGTGCGGGGGCTGGGGGGACTGATGTCCAGAAGGGTAAACTGACTTCCGGTGGTTGTGGACAGCTGGGGCTCTGGGGCCTTCCTCGGCTGCACACCCAGGGGCATGACCCTGACCCCCAGAAGCAGCCTGGCTGGTCTCTGGCATGGGCCACATCGGGTGCAGCGCCAAGCCTCCCGGTGGAGAAGAGGGCAGTGGGAGATGGGGGAGGGGAAGTGCTCCCCGGCGGGGAACATGAGAGTCGCAGGAGTGTGTGTCCCTTCACCCGGCCTCTCCCCCAGGGCCACACCCGGGCCCCGCCCGACGGTGGGCATTGCACCCCTAGGCCTTCACACTGTCAACCCGCAGTCCCTGGGGGGGGGGGCGCACCCTGAGAATGCGGCCCCGGGACACAGGTCCCTGAGGTTCGTGTGTCCAGAGCCCCAGCAAGGGCAGGACAAACAGCAGTTCTGGGGCTGTCCCAGCCCTGGCGCGACAGGATCCGCTGTCCAGAGGAGGAAGGAGTCAGATGGCTGGTCTCCTCACGCCCTGCGTGTCCTGACGCTGCATCTGGGAGACCCTGGCCAGGAGTCTGATGGGAAACACATCCCAGATGACAGGGACCAGAGTGAAATCTTTATTGGACAGAAAGGGTCCTTATCCACTAGTAAATGCCGTAAACCCCCCACAGCGTGCCTCTTTATCTTGGCGGGATGTGGCTGCTTATTGTAACGTGACCCCAAACGTGAGAAAAACATTTGTTTATGTAGAAGACAAGCAAGTCAGGTGCCTGACTCCAAGAGGGAGGCCGGTCCCCTGCCGCCTGCTTCCTCCCAATGACCCATGGGCGGGGCACAGGGAGGGTGGGGGATGGGACGGGTGGGCAGGGCTGACCCTCGGTGGGGACCACCGGGCCTCTTCCCACAGGTGGGAACTCCAGGACCGCGATGGTGGCGGCGCTGAGCCCCGCGGACATCAACTATGACGAGACCCTGAGCACCCTGAGGTGTGTTCCAAGGGGGCTGGAGGTGGGCGGGAGCGGACCCTCCAGGAGCCGCCATGGGGGGCCGGCTCCACTGGGCCCCTCGAGGCTCCCAGTGGCCGGCACGGCCCCCAGGACTTCACAGGCCTCTTCCCATGTCCCACCGCTTATGGCCTCGAGTGGCCCCAGGCCCCCAAAACTAGGCCGGAAGAGCAGTGCTCTGGGCTGAGTGGTTCACCCCGACCCACAGGCCATGAAGCCACCGGGGGTCTTTAATGAGCCCCCGGGGACAGGCGTGTCTGCAAGTCCTGCTGGCCCGGTGCTGCTCATTGGCCTGGCTGGGTGCTTTCGCCTCTGGGCCAGGAACATATGGGGCTGGGGTGCAGGTCAGACTGCCCCATTCACCCCAGGGCCACAGGGCAAAGTGGGCAAGGCTCCCCGTGGGGAGAAGATACCCCCCATCCCTTCCCCCACTGGGGCCTTGGTTTCCCCAAGTGCTGAGCCACTGTAGGTCGGTGCCCCTGCAGGTGGCTGCAGGTGGGGCTCCGGGTGCCCTCGGCCGCCAGGCGCACAGCCCCCACCCAGCCCCCCTTGCCCCCCAGGTACGCCGACCGGGCCAAGCAGATCCGCTGCAATGCCGTCATCAACGAGGACCCCAACAACAAGCTGATCCGAGAGCTGAAGGACGAGGTGACGCGCCTGCGGGACCTGCTCTACGCCCAGGGTCTCGGCGACATCACCGACAGTGAGTGTCTGTGCCCTCCTGTACCCGCCAGGCAGGGGGGCTGCGGGCCCCGGCTCCTTCCTGGGACCACCATCCACTGACGGCCCTTCTGAGGCCCAGGCTCTGCTGCGGGTTCTAGGGCTGAGTGGCCTCTGGGTGGGCTTTAGGGGGTCCTGGTGGGGCCTGGAGGGCTGTGTGTTTGGGTTTGCGGCTGACTCGACCAGGCCAGCAACGGCTTTCCTAGAAGCCGCGTGGGCAGGAGGCGCCGGGCCGTCCCTGCGCTTGCCGAGGACCGCCGCCCAGCCTGAGGCCCAGCTCGGGACACACCCTCCGGAGACAAACCTGCTCTTCCGTTTCTCTCTCTCCCACGCCTGCCCCGTAGCCGGCACTGTGCCCGGAGGACCCAGATGTGTGTATCCCCCGCTTGCTGCGCACCCCGCTTCCGCCGGCCCGCGGGCGTAGGGCAGCACGGGGCGGGTGCACCCCCTCCGCGGCCGTCCCCTCCCTGGGGCTGGACGACCAGAGTCCTCTTGCTCACGCGCCCTGCGGGCCGTGCTCCTGGCTCACCCCCGTGTCTACTGGGCAACTGAGCCAATGGGGAGGCCCAGGGCAGCCAAGGCCTCTTGAGGCCGAGTGTGGCTGAGGTCAGGCTCTGACCCCCATGTTTCTAGAGGCCTGGGAAATGCTGAACATCAGCACAGAGGCCAGGACAGCTCGGTGGCTGGCTCTGTTCCTGCCTCCCGGCTTCGGCCTCCCTTGACCTCATCCAGCCCAAGCCCCCTCCCTTGGAAATGCCAGGAGTCTGACCGCTGCCAGGCCCCTCTGGCCTGCGTCTCCCACTGGCCCTGGGCAGGGGCAGGAGCTGGGTGCCCCCTCCCCACCCAGGAGCCACAGGCCGCCCTTGGCTTCCCGGCCCCCCGTGCTGCCCTGCGTTCGCCGCTGCTCTGCTGTGTGTCTGCTTCTGCTGGGAGGGGCCCGGGCACCTCCCGCCCCAAGGGGTGTCAAGCCCCCGCCTCCCAGCCGTGGGGGTCTCAGAGCAGTGTGTGGGGTGGAGGAGTAGGAGCCCCCTCGGAGGTCCCACAGCTCACTCTCTGCCAGGGCACTCAGTGGGGTGGACAGTGCAGCCCAGCCCCACAGCTCGGGGTCGCGGTGGGTGGTGGAGAGGGTGAGGATGAGCATCAGGGCCTGGGTTCGGGGGGCCGCCGGGTGGGGACAGCAGAGGGCGGTGGGCAGGAGGGCAGGGGGGCTTGCTGAGCAGGTAGGGGAACGGAGGCCCCAGGTGGGGGTGGGGCGGGGGCAGCCTTGCATGCGCTCGCCCGGGCGCCCGGCTCCTGGTCCTTGTCTGCTGCCCTCCTCTCACCCATCTCCTGCTTTTTCCCAACTTGGTCTTTCTTTTCTCTCCTCCCGTCTGTCTGCCCCCCTTCCTCCCATAGACGTGTCCGACCTTGAGAACAATAACCGTAACCGTGGCGGGGTGGAGCTGAACCCAGCCCCTGACAATCTCTCCACAGTGACCAACGCCCTGGTGGGCATGAGCCCCTCGTCCTCGCTCTCGGCCCTGTCCAGCCGCGCCGCCTCCGTGTCCAGCCTGCACGAGCGCATCTTGTTTGCCCCGGGCAGCGAGGAGGCCATCGAAAGGCTGAAGGTGAGGCAGGGCCGGGCTCGGGCGGTGGGCAGGGGGTCGAGATGCCTGCTCTCGGACGGTCACAGGCAGAGGGTTGGAGACGGCATGAGCAGGGCCAGGGGACACGGCTGCATCCTGGCCCCAGACCTGCTGGTGCCTGCCCAGGGACCCAGTGCTCCCTGTCCAGGATCGCGGGGCCCATTTGCTGACGGGGATGGGCAGGCATCCCAGGGCCTCTGCACCCACTCCCGGGTCTCCGTGCTCACACCTGCCCTGGCATGGCTGCCCACCCCCACCGGCTGGCCACAGGCGAGCTGCTTGCAGGGTTCTGGTTACTGGCTTCCTTCAGCAGATGGGTACTCGGTGCCGGCTGTGAGCAGTGGACAGTGAGCCCAGACCTGGAGTCTGAGGGGACTGAGGGGAGACAGGCACAGGGGCCAGACCCAGGCTGACCAGGGGGCATGCGGTCACCATGGGGCGTAGGCCTCCTTGTGCTGTGGGGACCCAGCAGAGTGTGGGTTCCACCTGGGGTGTGGCATTCCACCAAGGATGTGGGGGTCCCACCGGGGCTGGGGGGACGGGAAGGGAGCGGGGAGACAGCACGGAAATGGGATGCGTCGTCCATCTCACCACGGTCAGGGGACACCTGAGCCCTGGAACCAGCGTCTTGGCATCTCGACAGGCTTGTTTCTCTTCCAGGTGTAGTTAGCCTTCTCCTCTGTTCTCTGTCCATGGGACAGACGTGCCTCCTTTGCACACGTTGACCCTCAGCCCTTCACCTTGATCTTTCAGACTTCATGCTGCCTAGATGGACTGGAATTGGGGTGTCGGGCCCTGCAGACCTGGCTATTCATCTCCCCTTGCCTGGCACCCAAGCCTCTGTGCACTGCCTTCCCCCCACCCTGACCTCACTCTTTTCTGTCTCCCTCCCCAGGAGACAGAAAAGATCATTGCTGAGCTCAACGAGACCTGGGAGGAGAAGCTGCGGCGGACAGAAGCCATCCGGATGGAGAGGTGGGTGCTGGGGACCAGGCCATCTGATGGAGAGGTAGGAGGTGGGGTCTGGGACCAGACCATCTGATGAAGAGGTGGGAGGTTGGGGACAAGACCATCTGATGGAGAGGTGGGAGGTGAGGGCTGGGGATAAGACCATCTGATGGAGAGGTGGGAGGTGGGTGCTGGGGACCAGACCATCTGATGGAGAGGTGGGAGGTGGGGGCTAGGTACCAGACCATCTGATGGAGAGGTGGGAGGTGGGGGCTAGGTACCAGACCATCTGATGGAGAGGTGGGAGGTGGGGGCTAGGTACCAGACCATCTGATGGAGAGGTGGGAGGTGGGGGCTAGGTACCAGACCATCTGATGGAGAGGTGGGAGGTGGGGGCTAGGTACCAGACCATCTGATGGAGAGGTGGGAGGTGGGGGCTAGGTACCAGACCATCTGATGGAGAGGTGGGAGGTGGGGGCTAGGTACCAGACCATCTGATGGAGAGGTGAGAGGTGGGGGCTAGGTACCAGACCATCTGATGGAGAGGTGGGAGGTGGGTGCTGGGGACCAGGCATCTGGAGAGGTGGGAGGTGGGTGCTAAGGATCAGGCCATCTGATGGAGAGGCGGGGGCTGGGGACCAGGCCGTCTGATGGAGAGGTGGGAGTTGGGGGTGGGGACCAGGCCGTCTGATGGAGAGGAGGGAGGCGGGGGCTTGGGACATGACCATCTGATGGAGAGGGCACTAGGCCTCTGCCCAGCTCTGGGGTCTTGCACCCAAGGGTGCTCCTGTCCAGTGCAGGACATACCTGTCCCCTCTCATCCAGTGACCCCACCCTGCTCACCGACGGCCCCACTGACCTGATCCCCAGTCAGGGGACCAGACCCTCCGAGGGGCAGCTGGACTCACAGGCCAGATGCAGCCCTGTGTGGGTGCTGACCCCCACTCTGTCCCCCAGGGAAGCGCTGCTGGCCGAGATGGGCGTGGCCATGCGGGAGGACGGCGGCACCCTGGGGGTGTTCTCTCCCAAAAAGGTAGGAGCTGGTCCCTTCCCTGGGCTGCCCCAGTGTGGCCAGGGATGGGGGACCTGCAGCCCTCGGCAGCTGTCAGCTCCTGGGGGTGGGGAAGCGGGCGCTGAGGACCCGGCCACGCTCACCCGCAGCTATTCCTTCCCTGTGTGGCCCCTCCCCACCCCCCGCTCACCATGGGATGTCTCTGTGGTCTAAGGACATCCGAGAGGCCACGTAGCTGCCTGAGGAGTGGGCTGGGCCCCTTAGGTTGGGGTGAGGCCAGGTTCCTGAAACAGGGGGAGCCAGCACACCCTCAGGAGCCTGCAGGGCAGGGCTGGGGCACATGAGCCAGGAGCCAGCCGTCCTCTCGGAGGTTAGCTAAAGTAAGTCCACTGTCCCAGCAGGGACTCCTCTTCAGCACCTAGCCCAGCTTGCCCGTGGCCCAGGGCCTCACATGGAACCGAGCCCCACCCCCTGTTCCATAGCTCAGGTGGGGCAGAGCCTGAGCCCTGGGGAAAAGTCTCTGTGGTTCTAGGATGCAGACCCACCCTCCCCTGCCAAAGACTGCCAGACCCTTAGAGCCCTTAGGAGCCATGCTTCAGGCCCAGTAGCCTTCCTGGAGGCAGTGGCAGTCCACCCTGGCCCTGCCACTTTACTAGCGAGGGAGTGCCTGGCTGACTTTTTACCCCACAAAAGGGCTTCTGTGTTTGCCTGTCTTGGAGCTGGCGGCACATGAAGTCAGTGCCGTGCTGTTGGGGCTCCAAGTGAAGAGGAGAATGGGGCGCCCGTGTGAGGGCTCATCCCTCAGGGTGGCTGCTCCCTGGGGACAGGGCTGGGCCCCTCAGGCTGTGTCTGCGCCCCACCCACTAGCTGGGGTACAGCATGTGCGGATGCCCAGAGGCAGGAGGGAGGGTGCCTAGGGACCTGGGTGGGGGGCAGTGGCACCCTGGGGGTGCTTCACATCTGTCCGGTAGGCCTTTAGTTTTGTTTGGGATTCATTGCCCGTGGAGGGGGGGCGCCCTGTCCATGAGAGGGGCGTCCTGTCCCTGGGGGGATGCCCCGTCCCTGGGGGGTGCCGTGGGAAGTGTGCAGAGCTGGGGAGCAATGCCCTCGGGGCACCATCTGCACAGTCTTTTGGCTTCATTGGTGCAGAGGGATTTGCTGGTGGCCCAGGCCTAGACTCTGCCCAGGAGGGGGCTGGCCCTGGAGACCCCCACAGACATCTCCTCTGGAGATGCGGACACCCTCCTGGGAACGGGGTGGCTGAAGATGGTCTGTCCTGTGTCTGATGACCAGGTCTCCCTGACCCTGCGCTGAGTATTGGGGGGCCCCATGGGGTCTGTTGTGAGGGTGTGGACAGCTGGCCCCAAGGAGCCAGGTGGGAAGCAGGAAGCTGTCCAACCTCGCCTTTCTGCAGAGTCCTTGCCAGGATGGGCTGGAGGTCGGGAAGCATTGGGGCCCAGAGACCCTGAGGGAGAGCAGAGGAGGAGAGGAAGGTGGGGCGGAGCCTGTCCCGGCTGCTCTGGGCGGGGTGGGCAGTGCTTAGACAGGGCTGCGGGGGAAGCGCTCCGCTTGGCCGGACAGGCGGGGGGCACCGACCCGGCTGGCTCACAGCCTCTCTGCTCCTCGACCTCCAGGGCCCGAACCCCGCCGCCTGCACCCTCACCCCCTTCCTGGCTCCTGGGTCCCCTGGGGCCTCAGCCCTGGAGTTGGGATGGGGGCCTGCGGTCCTGTTTCAGTGGAGGACTGGGCCCAGGCGCCACAGATCCCAGGCTTGCCCTGCACATCCAAGTGCTCAGAGCTGGACTCCCAGCCCCTCTGGAGGTCCAGCGCCCCCGAGTGCTGCTCCCAAGGCTCCGGGGTCCCCATCAGAGTCTCCTCCCATCCTCTTGGCCAGGCTGGGGGACACTGTCCCCGCAAGGCCAGGCCTAGGGCTGGCAGTGGTCTGGTCCCGGGGAGAGAGAGGGCAGTGGGCGGCCAGGGCCAGGCTCCTGCCCCCCTCCAAGAGAGGTGACTCCCTGTCTCCCCAGACGCCACATCTGGTCAACCTGAACGAGGACCCGCTCATGTCTGAGTGCCTGCTGTACTACATCAAGGATGGGATCACCAGGTGGGGGTGGGCGGGGCGTGGGGAGGGGCGATGCTGCGGGGCCCTCTGGGCGGGGCGGCTCCCCTCGGGCAGGCCCTTTGTGTGTGGGGGGGTGTCCCCTGCGCCCCTACTCATGTGCTCTCCAGCCGTTCCCTGTAAGGGCTGGGCATCCAGGAGGCTGCAGGGGGGGGTGGGGTGGGTCGGTGGGTGGTGTCGCCGGTGGCATCGCAGGTGTGCTGGGCCTGTGGTGCTCACGGCCCGCTGCACGCAGGGTGGGCCGGGAGGACGCGGAGAAGCGGCAGGACATTGTTCTGAGCGGGCACTTCATCAAGGAGGAGCACTGTGTCTTCCGGAGCGACTCTCGTGGGGGAAGTGAAGGTACCGCCCTGCCCCGCTCCACTGGGAGCTGCCGGGCATCAGTCCCGAGGGTCTGCTGGGTCAGCGCCCCCCTCCCCCAGCTTCCAAGTCAGTCCTGGGAACCCCAATTCTAAGGGGGCTTAGACAGTTGGGCTGGGGACCGGGACTCCCTCCTCAGAGGGGGCTGGTTGGGGCGGTCACGGGCGGGAGGGCAGTGAGCCCAGATCCAGGGACAACTGTCCTCAGGCCGAAGCTTTCTGCGGGCTGGGAGCAGCCATCTGTCCCTCTCCCCCGCCGGCCTGTCCTTGGGTGTCCGTCACCGCTGCCAGTCTCGAGCACGATCCTTCCTTTTCGGGGGGGTACCTGCTGTCCCAGCGGACACGGCCCCCAAGCTCAGCGCACGCTCCCTGGTGGGCTCCGGCTAGCTTCGGGGCTGTAGACCACTGACCTCTCTGTGACAGGGCCACTGCGGGGTGGTGGCCTTAAGCTGTGCTGAGGACACTGGTTCTCCCAGAATTCTGTCCCCAAAGCTCTCCCTGCCCTCGAGGGGTGGACACAAAGCCAGGAGGGGCTCTGGGACTCCAGGACCGTCCCTCCTGGAGACCCCGTAGGGCAGGGTGGGCATCTGGCACGGCCTCCCTGGCTCTGACTTAGGGCACAAGAGCCTCCCTACTGGGTATCACCTCCCTTGCCTGTGAGGGGCTGAGATGCCCCTCTGGCTTCTTTAAGGCCCAATCGAGGTGCTGCAGGGAGGAGGTGCCTGGGGGGGGGGTGCACCTGGGTGCCAGGTGGCCAGGTGGGTCGAGACCACCCCCACCCTGAGTGCTTGCTGGACTTGCAGTGAGTCCAGTTCACTGGACTCAGACAGGGAAGCAGCCAGGGTGACAGCCCCTCACGGTCCTCCTCTCTGCCCTGTCCTGTAGCTGTGGTGACCCTAGAGCCCTGTGAAGGGGCGGACACCTATGTCAATGGCAAGAAAGTCACGGAGCCCAGCGTCCTGCGGTCAGGTACAGTGGGGGCAGGGGTCGCCCCACTCCCCATGCCTGTGCACCCCTGCTCCCAGGCTGTGGGGCTGCAGGCACCTGACCAGCCTGCAGGCACCCCGGCTGCACCGTAGGCTCGGAGGTGGTGGGGCGAAGGCTGTTCGTGGCAGAACTCCATGAGGGGCCCTGTCCCAGAGCCCCGGCGGGACGGAGGGGGGCCTTGGCAGAGCAGCCAGCGGGGCGTGGGCTGCGCAACCCCCACACCCCGGCCCCCTGGCTGGGCCTTGTGCCCTAGTGTTATAAAACAAGCAGGAGGAAGATGTATGTATACACACATGTGTATATACTGATGTATCTGTCTGTCCATCTACCGAGGGACTTACTCAATGGAATTGGCTCAGGAGGTGGTGGGGGCTAGACAGATGGGTCTGAAATCTGCAGGTGGAACTTTCTCTTCAGGGACATCTCTGTTTAGCTCTTAAGGCCTTTTCCCAAGGGGCGAGGCCCGCCACATCTTGTGGATGGTCTCCTGTCCTAAGGTCACCACCCAGGTGCCACCCCCAGCTACAGACGTTCCCACCCCTGGCAGTGCATACATCAGTGCCCGAGCGCACCGCTGGGCTCCGCTCCCCAGACGAGCTGACACATAAAACGGACTGTCATATCACTGTGTCTGGGTGACTTTGCTAAGAATGAGGGCACTCTCTCTGGCTCCACTCCCCGGCCAAGCTGACACATGGACACACTGTCGTGTCACCATGTCTGATGACTGCTAAGAACGAAGGGACTCTCCCTCTGCCCCAGCTAGGGTTGCAGGCGGGACACCCCTAGCCTGACGTCCAGACCTCTCTGGGTGCTCCAAACGGCCCTCCCTGCCTTTGTGGTCCTGGGATGCTTTGAGAGGGTATGCACCACACATCTGGACTCAGGGGCCTCGTGAGGCCACCCGTGGCCGGCGTCCTTGCTTGGTTGAGCCAGGCAAGGGCAGGTCCAGAGAGCAGTTTCTGTCTCCCTTGTCGCTTCAGGATCGGTGCCCGCAGGCTCGGGGCAGGGCCTGGGCTGCGAAGGGAGCGGAACTTGGGGGCTGGAGGAGCCGCCTGCAGGCTGGGGGCCTCGTGGGGAGTGGGATTGAGCCGGGTTTGCAGACCCCGGAGGAGAGCTGTGATTCCTGGAGAAAGTCAGAAGGAAGTTAGGCGGTTCAGAGAGAACCCCGCCTCCGGGCAGGATAGTCCCAGGGCAGCTGGCACTGCCCTGGGGGCACCTGTGTGCCCGGGAGGGTCCTGCCGGCAGGGCAGAGCCTGGCTCTGGAAACCTGCTGGCCCCTGCTCTGCTGCCATCCAGGGACGGCCGGGAAGGGAAGTGCCAGGCAGAGGGGCCACGCCCAGCCCTCAGATGGGGGGTGCCAGGCCCAGGGCACGGGGCAGGAGGCCAGGCTGGCCTGGGAGTGGCACGTGCGGGGTTGTGGAGAGGATGGGATGGTGGAGACGCCCCACGACTGTGCGCAAATGTCACTGCTGCTGGGAGGGGCGGGGCCCTGGGGAGGATCCGGGGAGCCTGAGGAGGCGCATTCAGGTACTGGTGGGGGAGGAGGCCATCCCGCGGGGGCGGGTGAGGGGGACGCTTGGCGGAGGCGGCAGTGGGCTGGCTCCGGACAACTGGGGGCCCCCCGGGGAGGGCGACGCTGGGACGCCGGGGGTTTTCCTCCCCTTTCCTCTCCCCTCCCCCGAGGCCCCTCAGACCAAAGGTTCTCCAGCTGCCTGCCTCGGCCCTGTCCCCCAGGAAACCGCATCATCATGGGCAAGAGCCACGTGTTCCGGTTCAACCACCCCGAGCAGGCGCGGCAGGAGCGCGAGCGCACGCCCTGCGCGGAGACGCCGGCCGAGCCCGTGGACTGGGCCTTCGCCCAGCGCGAGCTGCTGGAGAAGCAGGGCATCGACATGAAGCAGGAGATGGAGCAGAGGTGGGCCGGGCTGCCCCTCCCCGCCCCCCACCGCCGTCCGCCCGCCGGCACTCACCCGCAGCTCTTGCAGGCTCCAGGAGCTGGAGGACCAGTACCGTCGGGAGCGCGAGGAGGCCACCTACCTGCTGGAGCAGCAGCGACTGGTGAGACGCCCCACCCAGGTCCCCGCTGCCCCGCCGGAGCTGGCGCTGGGTGGGGCCGCGTCCGGAGGGGAGGGCCGCAGTGGCCTGGTCTCTGCGTGGAGCCACAGGCACACTTCTGTGCCTAGGACTACGAGAGCAAGCTGGAGGCCCTGCAGAAGCAGATGGACTCCAGGTACTACCCCGAGGTGAACGAGGAGGAGGAGGAGCCGGAGGACGAAGGTGAGGGGGCGGGCCGGGCCGGCCTGGGGCTGGGGAGGGGCCTCCCTGCAGGTCGGCTGGCCCAGGCCTTTGCCCCGGGGGCCCTGGTCTGCAGGCAGGATTGGGGAGGCTGTGCTGCAGCAGGAAGGCACCTGTGCACACATGTGCAGTTCTGGGGCAGGCAGCCTAGAGCACGGGGAGGACAGTGCAGGGTCCCCTGCGGGAACCTTGCACCCACCCGGCCTGTGCTGCTTGAGCTTGAGCGGCGCTAGTGCTCCTCCCGGGAGAAGGTCTCTGCGCCGTTTCAGAGCGTTTCCTTGGGCGGCCCACCGCCGACTGCAGCTGCCGGGCGAAGGACCACCCGCAGGCAGGGTTCACGTCCCGCTCGGCCTCCGGTCAGCTGGTTGGCCCCTTGGGCGGATGAGACCTGGCCGCCCTTGTCTGGACTCATCTATCTGGGGGTGGGGGGTGCCAGGCCGCAGCCCGTCCTCCTGCCCCCACCCCACCTCTGCTCCGAGCCCTAACTGAGCTCCGGCCTGACCCTCAGGCCCCTCGCACTCACGCCGGGGGCGCGGCGGCCGCCGTGGGGCCTGAGGGCCGCTCCCTGAGGCAGGTCTCCCTGTACGACCCTTTCCCGAACATCCCAGACAGTTGGTGCGACCCTGGGGGCCTGAGCCCCCGCCCCGCATCGACCGGGCCCGCCTCTCCGCACAGTCCAGTGGACGGAGCGGGAGTGCGAGCTGGCGCTGTGGGCCTTCCGGAAGTGGAAGTGGTACCAGTTCACGTCACTGCGGGACCTGCTGTGGGGCAACGCCATCTTCCTCAAGGAGGCCAACGCCATCAGCGTGGAGCTCAAGAAGAAGGTGGGCTGGCCGCGCCGTGCCCCCGCCACCCCCATTCCCCTGCCCATGGGCCACACCCTGCCACACCATCCCACACCATGCCCCTTTCTCACTACGCCCCATGGCGCATACACCACGCCCCCGCCACGCCCACGCAGCCACGCCGATGCCACGCCCACACCACACGCCTGACACGCACGGCTCCCTCATGCCACCCCCCCGCCCTGCCCGTTCCCCACCTATGCACGCCACGCTCATGCCACTCCCTCGCCACGCCACGCCACAGCTACTAGCATGCCACGCCATGCCACACCGTGCCACAGCCCTTCTACACCACGCCCCTTTCACACTACCCCCACGGCACACGTGCCACGGCCCGCCACGCCCACACAGCCACGCCGATGCCACACCCACGTCACTCCCCTTCCACGCCACACCCCACGGCACGCTCATGCCACGCCCCCACCACGCCACGCCTCCACCACACCACGCCACTCCCCTTCCACGCCACACCCCACGGCACGCTTATGCCATGCCCCCNGTCACTCCCCTTCCACGCCACACCCCACGGCACGCTCATGCCACGCCCCCACCACGCCACGCCTCCACCACACCACGCCACTCCCCTTCCACGCCACACCCCACGGCACGCTTATGCCATGCCCCCACCACCCCACACCAGGCCCCTGCTACGCCACGCCCCCACCACGCCGTCTGCACTCGAGGGCACTCTTCCAGTCCAGTAGGACTCCCAGCTGAGCGGCTCTGCCTCTCTGCCAAGGGGGGCGAAACGCCCCTGATCTGTGCCCCTAGGAGGCCGGGTGGATGAAGGGAAGCCGGCACTGACCAAGGCCGGCGCATAGGCAGGCCAGAGCGTGGGCGAAGTGGAGCTTTCTCTCCAGCCGCGGGAAGGAGGCTATTCCGAGGCCGGGCTCCACCTCCAAGGGGCTGATGGGCGTCATCTTCACTGTGCACAGGTCCAATTCCAGTTTGTCCTCCTCACGGACACACTCTACTCCCCGCTGCCACCTGACCTGCTGCCCCCGGAGGCTGCCAAGGACCGAGAGACTCGCCCCTTCCCACGCACCATCGTGGCCGTGGAGGTCCAAGACCAGAAGAACGGGGCCACCCACTACTGGACGCTGGAGAAACTCAGGTGCATGGGAAGCGGAGTGAATGCAGAATGTTGGGCAGCTAGTTTTCCTGTTTCGGTTTCTTTTTAAGTCAGAAGAAAGTACATAGGATCCAGCCTTATTAAAGAATCTGTGTTCTGCTCTGGCAAAGCTAGGCTGAAGTTGGTGGGTGAGGTGCTGGGGGGAGGAAGGCAGGGGGTCCTCCGCCTTGGGCGGAGCCTGGGCGGGGCGGAGGACGGCGGCCCCTGGAGGACGGCGGCCCCTGGGGGACGGCTGGTCTGCCCTCCCCTCTGCCTCCAGGGTCCCATGTGCCTACCCTGCTGTGTGTGGGCCTGACTCTTCCTGGGTGAAGGTGACTGGGCAGGGCTTTGCCATGGGAGAAAAGTTTACTGTTGCTCAGCTTCCCCTGGAAGGAGGGACACCCGCACGCAGGGGAGGTGCAGGGCCTTCAGGGACGAAGCAGGGGTCTCACTACAGCATCTTCGAGGCATTCGTGGGCACAGCTGGACAAGGCGAACAGTGAGGACTGACCGGTTAGAACAGCATTGGAGGCTTGGGGCAGGGGCTGCCTGGTGGCCTGGCCCCGCACCTGAGATTAGGGCAGGGGAGCTGGCTGGTTGAGTGGGCTTGGGCCGGGTAAGGGGGTCTTCACTGTGGGGGAAGGGTCTCCCAGGCAGCGAGGCCCCAAAGATGTCAGAACACTGTGAGACACAGAAAATAACACAGACGCACTCACACGTGCAGCCACGCACATTCACACACATGGTCCCACTCACCTTCAAACACAGGCCCACTGGCACTCACATACCAACCATGTATGTTCCCAGGTACACCTGCCCCTTCCCTGTCCTCCAGGCTGCGGCCCCTCCTGGGAAATGAATGTCCCCCCAGGTCCTTCCTGCTGCACCTGGGCCCCCGAGGTATATTTCCCTCGGAGGTGTTTCTGCCACAGCTTGCTGGTTTTCCAGGGTGATAACTTCGGAAATGCCTTGTTCCTCGTGTCCTGTCACAACTTGCCCTTCGCTCACCAGCTCCCAGGGCTCCGTGCCTGAATCCGGGTTCCCCCACACTGGCTGGTCCCAGCCCCGTCCTCTCCTGACACCCTGCAGCTGTCACTGGGGTTAAGAGAAGTGTGTGGTGAACGTGTGTTGCATTGCAAGCCCCTTGCTCATGGTCAGCCGATTCCAAGGACCACGGAGGGAATGTCCGGCAAAGCCGCTTGAGCTGAGGGCAACCCTGAGCAGGACGCTCCGCCCGGGCCCACGCTGACCTCTGCCCTGCAGGCAGCGGCTGGACCTGATGCGGGAGATGTATGACCGGGCAGCTGAGGTGCCCTCCAGCGTCATCGAGGACTGTGACAACGTGGTGACCGGAGGAGACCCCTTCTACGACCGCTTCCCCTGGTTCCGGCTGGTGGGCAGGTGGGTGTCTGCCTCCGGACCAGGCTGAGAGACTGGGAGAAGAGTGGTGGGTGGCGAGGGCCTGGGCCCTGGCCCTGACCTGAGGCGGGCGCTGGCCCTCTTCCATCCCGAATCCCCTGCCTTGGTCCTCTCTGGGCTGAGTCCCCCCGTCATCCTCTTCACATACCAGTGGGCCCTGATGGGGAGGGGGTCTCCGCATTGCCACCCACCCCCGCTTCGGGGCCGTAGCCCTCAGGTGACACCTGTCCATGGGTGAGAGTGTGAGGCTTGGTCAGGCCTTCTGGGCCACCAGTGGGGCGTGAGCGGGAGGCAGGGCAGAGTGCTCCCAGAGCCCAGAGTCTGCGCCTGGGCTGTCCCCTGGCTCCTGGGCTGGGGGGCTGCACCCAGCCCCTGCCCCCCACGGGGCGTGGATTCTGAGGCTTCGACATGACCACGGCCTCGGCCACACCCGGCCAGGACCACACCTGCCGGACCTTCCGGAACCTTCCGGGGCTGCACACTGGCCCCACGGGCGGGCGTGCGTGTGTGTCCACGCCTGGGGACGGCGCGCCCTGGGCCACCTCGGCTTTGGAGGCGGTGCCCGTGGAGGTCTGTGTGTCGGCCGCCCGCCCCGCCGCCCCCGAGGAGCCGGTGTTAACTTCTCTCTGTCTTGTCGCACTAACCCCAGTTCAGTCGTCTCTGGCTGCAACAGCTACCCTCTTCTCAACACATGCATGAGCGAGCGCATGGCTGCTCTCACCCCCTCCCCCACCTTCTCGAGCCCCGACTCCGACGCCACCGAGCCTGCCGAGGAGCAGAGCGTGGGGGAGGAGGAGGAGGAGGAGGAGGAGGACCTGGAGGACGACGTCTTTCCGGAGCACGTGCTGTGCGACGGCCGGGACCCGTTTTACGACCGGCCCCCCCTGTTCAGTTTAGTAGGAAGGTTGGTGAGGTTGAGGACGGCATGCTGGGAAGGAACCAGCTCTTTTGCACAGGAGCACTGCTGTGGGCACGGTGGACCACTGGCAGGGCGCCGCCCTGGCGCAGGGGGCAGGCAGGGGCTGGCCTCCCCCGGGGAGCGAGTGAGGCAGCGAGAGCGCCCCTGGCTGTCCTGGGGAGGCCCAGCAGGGGAAGGTGGGGGCCCAGTGACAGAGGAGGCAGGACGCCCCGGGGCACAGGCTCCACGCAGGGGGTCTGTTTCTGCAGAGAGGCCTCTGGAACCCCAGGGAGAGCCCCCACCCCCGGGCAGGGGCCTCAGGGCATTTGGAGAAGTGGCGGCAGGCATCCTTGCACCCCCTCGCCCACCATCCGAGGCCACTGTCCCTCCTTCTGCTGTTTTCCAAAAGAGACGGAGGGTCTGGGTCTGCTCCCAGTGCCGCCCCCGCCCCCCATCGTGGGAAGAGGAGCAGAACCTGGAGGAGGCCGTTGGGAGACAGCAGGGGGGGACGAAGGAAGGCAGAACCTGGCAGTGGGAGGGCCTCCCTCTGAAGCCCTGGGCAGCCTGGCCTCTCTTCGAGCCAGTCTCCATCTAAGATAGAGAACACCTCATTCGTCCTGACCTTCAGGCCATCAACATTGGAGATGGCACCCCTGGCCTTGTGCCCTCCAGGGAGCTGTCCTCTGTGGAGGGGAGGCAGTGATTAAGGGTTTTAGACAGGAGACAGACCAGGTCCAGGAGGGGGCGTGGGGCTCGCCCTGCAGGCAGATGGGCCAAGTACAGTCCGTCTGTTTTTATCACCGTGGGACAGAAATGAGAAAGAAAGATCTAGAAACCTAGCTGTAGTAGTAGAAACCTTGGCTCACAGAAACTGAATTTACACATTCTGTCTGCAAAGGTGGAAGTTAGCTTTAAAGGCAACCTTTGTAGGAGTCTGGGATTGCTTCCTGGGCTAGGCCGAGGGAAGGTTTTGGAAGTCTTGACCTTGGAGCACCAGTGCTGGAAGCTGTGCCGAGGCTGGCCCCCAGATAACAAGGTTTGTTCTGGGAGCCCTTGGGTGCAGCTGCTGGAGTGGAAGCCCCTCTGGTTCCTCTGGGAAGGAAGCAGGCTCTCTCGAGGGGATCGTGGGTTTATTCTGACTCAGTTTCCCTGAGCGGGGGCTGCTGGCCCCCTGGCTCTCTCCTGAGATGCCCCAGTCCAGCTTCCTGCCCCACCGACCCAAGGGAAGGCGTGACCCCTGGGGCTGGCTCCACACAGGCCTCTCAGAAAGCCCAGCCACGCAGGCCAGGGCTGCCGGGTGTCAGGCAGGTGTGGGGTTACTGGGAGAAACGGGGGTGGGCTCTTGCAGTCTCAGCCAGAAAGAGCTGGGTCCTTCCGACACTCCCCCTGTGATCTGGGATGTTACGAAACAACCAAAACCAAAGCCGCGCGAGAGGCCAGCTCCCCACGCGGCCGTCTGCGAGGGGCTTCATTTGAAAACGTCCTGATTTTTCTGGTTTGGCAAGAATTGGCTTTTCCCGCGCAGCAGCTGTGCAGGCCGAGCCCTGAGGAGGACCCGTGTGTGGTTCCCTTTATCCTTCTGGTAGCCGCTGGCTCTCTCTCCAAAGCTTAAGCAAAATTGGGGCGCCCACTCTTGCCTCCCTCCGGAAAGGCTTCCGTGGCCCCAGCATGCGTCTGCACCTCACCAATCTCGTGGTTAGCGCTGCCTCCTCCGCTCCCCCACGCTCCGCCCCGGCCCCCACCTCTGCCGCCCCCCCTGTCTCCGGCGGGTCTCAGCCTGCTTCAAGGTGCCCTTGCTCCCGAGCATGGGGTCCCGGTAGGGCCCCCCCCGCCCCGAGTCCAGGGTCAGCCTGCGTGCCGCTGCGCTGGGGGGGGGGGTGGGCCGGCCCAGCGGGAGGAGGTGGACCTGTGGGCTCAGTCTCCCCCGTGGTCCTCCCCGCCTGGACCTTTGCTCTCAGAAGGGGGGTGGGCAGGGGAGCCGCAGAGAGAGGAGGGTGAGGGGCTGACTGTCTGGGATGGACGGTCCCGGGGAAGGAGGACAGGTGCCCCCCGAGTGTAGGATCCAGGACTCTGGGTGGAAAAGCACTGACCCGCCGTGTCTGCTCTGCGCTGTCTGGGCCAGCAAGGCCGAGCTCCCAGCCCCCAGCCGGGTGTGCTCTGTGGGCCAAGCCGCTCAGCCCGAATCGTCTCCAGCAATGCGCCGGGCCGCCGTGTGCGGGTGGGCGTGCCGTGGCCAGTGGGTCCTCCGGACAGGGCTGGGCTGCTCCGGCCCCCGAGGTGGTGGGCACTGCTGTCCACTTGGGCATGTGGAGGGCCCGGCCTCTACCCCTCGGATCCACCCTCTCCAGTCCCCATCATCCGGGGTGGGCCTGGGGTCTTCCTGACCCCTGCCCTGGTGGCTGGTGCTGCCACCAGGGGCAGTGGCTGCCAGGCCGGGGGGTCCCTTCGAGGCGAAGGCGGTGTCACCATCACAGGGCAAGGGGCAGTGAGGAGGACAGAGGGTCCCGCAAGGCCACCGTGCCCTCTGGAAACCCTCGCCCAGGGCTGTGTCTGATCTGTGTGCGAACCCGCCTGGTGCCCCTGGGGGTGTGGAGACCAGCCCTCCCACGGCCGGCAGTGAGGTTCAGAGAGGGCAGCAAGTGTGGCCGTGGACTCCAGGTGTCTTTTTCTTTGTAAAACCCCAACCTCCAACCAAGGGGGCCCTCGAAGCCCCCAGCCCTGCTGTTTACGATACCCTAAGCATCTGGGTTTTCTTTCCTTTCCGACAAGAGGAAATCCCGTGAGATCGGGAAAGACTTGATTTACCTAACGAACCTTAAGTAAGCTGCTGGGCGATGGGGCGCTGTGCCCACAGCCGGGAGCTGTCCCGGAGCCAGCCTGGGGTCCCGCCCCAGCTGAGCGTCTGCTCCCAGCCTTGCTGTCCTCGGACCTCCGTCTCCGCCTGTGAGACGGGGCATGGAAGCCGTGGTTCGCCAGCCCTAGCACCCCCACTTAGACTTCCGGCGCTGTGTTTGAGCCCCTAGTTTGAGCCGTCGGACCAGCTGAAGCATGCCGCTGGGGAGGGAGCCCCAGCGTCCGTGTTGAGGTGTGAGGAGAAGAGACCCCAGCCGCCTGCCGCACGGTGCTGGGGGCTCCAGCGCCGGCCCCAGTGGGCTCGCAGGGGCTGTCACGCACAGTTTCTCCCCTGGAGCTTTCGGTGGCAGAGTGCCAGCGGGGTGATTTGAGCTTTAGGACTCACGGGGTGCAGCCCTCTTCGATGCGTGGGCCCCGTGGCAGGAAGCACCCCGGGAGACCAGTGGGCATGTGCAGCCGCGGGGCCCTGGGGAGTGGGGACGCCCGCCCTGCCGCGGGCCTGCTGTGATTGGGTTGGCCTGGCCCCGTGCCTTGGACTGCCTAGGGCCTGGCCTCCGTGGGCGCAGGAGGGAGGAGGGCTGACCTCTTTCCCCTCCCTCTCGGCCCCTCGGGGTGGTCCTGGGTCCCCTGCAGCGGGCTGCGAGAAGCCATTGGAGCTGGGAGCCAGCGCCCAGGGACTGCTCCCTGAGCCTTCAGGAAGCAGCCCCCGGGCCTGGCGGGCCCTCCTGGCTGGTGGCCCTCGGACAGCCTGACACTCTGCCTCGGGAAGGCATCGTGCCCTCAGTAGCCCACGACCCAGGCGGCGTGCCTCCCCGTAGGTCCTCCTGTGGGTCCCTGCAGGGTGCAGGGGGTGGGCAGGCCTGCCCCCCACCCTGGCGCCTGGGGCTCCCAGAAGTCTCCCTACCCTGCTTTCTGCAGCAGGCGGTGCCCAGGGGCGGGCAGGGCTGAGGGCAGCGCTGACTGGGCCCCGAAGCTGGGAGCTACTCCACCCAGCCCCCTTTGCGCTCTGGGGCAGGGCGGGGCAGCTGGGCCTCGGGGGAGTGGAGCCGGCTCTGTGCCTGTCCCCATAGCTCAGAGTCCTGGCCCTGCACTTCCCCTTCTGGACCCCGTGACTTGGCTCATTTCACAGTCGCCCCCTCCCACCCCCAGTTTCCATCAGAGAAGCTGGGCCAGCAGCCCAAGTGCCGGGGAGGGGAGGCCCCCACCGTCCCGCCCGAGGTGGGTGCTGGCTGATGCCCTCTGCGATGTGGGCGAGGCCTTCCGTTCGGACTCCAGCATCTCTTGCTGGCTTCTGCTCTCCTGCGTGGTGGCTGGGGGCAGTGGGCCTTGGCGCCCGCTCCTATCGTGGGAGAGAACACTGAAGGGAGGGGCCGTGGGGCACCCTCAGAGATGGTGCTCTGCTGGGGAGGGGGCTTCCACCTGCCGGAGGGTGGGGGGCCGCAGTGGCAGGCCCTGGGAGGCCCCACCCTGGGGTGCCTGGGGCCTGGCTCAGCCTTCAGGGGCCCAGAAAGCAAAACCAGTCAACAGAGGTTGGGCCTGCTGGTAAATTCGGGCCAACCGGGAGAGCTGTGCAGAAAGCAGCCCAGAGGTTGAGACGTGGTAGCCTTGCACAGAGATGGGAGCAGACGGGGGCGTGAGGCCAGAACGGGGCGGGGCCCACGGCAGGGGCTGGAGCACCTGTTGGATGCAAAGAGCTTGGAGGCCAAGGCGGGTGGGGTCTGCTCGGGTCTCAGGTCCCCTCTGGCAGCCGTGGAGGCTGGGGTGGGGGGGGGTGCAGGGGGAGAGGGTGGGAGGCCAGGGCTGATGGGCTGGTGATGGGTTTCAGAGACTCGAGGCAGAGCTGAGGGACGGGCTAGGATGGTGTGCAGAGCTCTGCCCCGCGGTGGGGGAAGGCCGGCGGTGGCCAGGCTGGGAGCCGACCGGAGAGGGACGCAGGGGCTGGAGTCAGGGCCCTGGGGAGAGCCCCGCCCCCACCTGCGGCCACGGGGCGTCCAGAGCAGGGAGCCCAGCCTGGATGAGGGGCGGGGTGACGGACGACGCACCTCTCCTCCTATCCCCAGTGACCCCTCCCCACCCGACCAGTGCCCAGACTGCCGCCTCAACTGCCCACACCTTGTCCCCACTTGGACCCCCTCACCCCCCGCACTTACTCCCCAGCACCTCCCACTATCCGGCTCCAGATCCTGCCCCTCCCCCAGGACCACACCCAGAACTTCCCCAACCCCGGAGCTCGGGTTGCCGGGTCTGTGCCTTTGGGCTGGAGTGGAGGGCAGAGCAGGGCTGGAAACCAGGGTGCTCCCTCAAGGACAGCCCCCCCCCAGGAGGACATAACCCAAAGAGGACACGTCCCCAAGGGGGGTGTTTCCCCCTAGGAGTGGGTGTCCCTCCACGGAGGGCTTCCTGAACAGAAGGGAGTGGTGCTTATGCCAGCCTGCCCACCCGCGGAGCACCACAGGCTCCGCCTTCCACTGCCCATGAGATCCCGCAGGTCGGCCGGCTCAGGGAGGGGGCGCCACGGTGACGTGGCCTCTGGCCCGCCTGTCTTGGCACTAGCTGGGCGCATAGCTGAGCTGCCAGGAGAGGGGGGCTCTGGGCCCTGGGGCTGGTGGGGCCGTGCCAGGCAGTGCTGCAGCGTCTGGGGCATCCTTGGGGCTCTGTTCAGCCCTCCTCCCGGGCCCTGGCTGAAGTCATGGAGCTCTCACCCCTTGTGTTCCTGGAGAGGCTCACAGGGAGCCCTGAGCTGTCTTTTGCCATCTGAGGCCCTCTGTGGGGTCTGCGAGTGTCAGGGGCCTCCAGGGAACGGGCAGGGGAGACGGGGGGCATCGGCACCAGCGTGAGGGTTGTAGGTCAGCGAGGCGGTCCCCGGTCGTCACCCTTGAAGCAGGCTGAACCCTCCTCCTCGCTGTCCTCCGCGTCCTCCCGCCCCTCTGCCCTGTCCGCTGCTGCCCACCCCCCACCCCGGCCCTGTGCAGCTCCTGCCTGACCCCGCCCTGGCTGCCCCCACCTGGCTGCCCGCCCCCCTCTGCTTTGCAGTGTCGTGTTGTGCGCCCACCCTGCCGCCTCTGCCGGGTGCCCGGCAGGTGGCCCTGACCATGGCCTCTCCTCCCCCAGGGCCTTCGTGTACCTCAGCAACCTGCTGTATCCCGTGCCGCTGGTGCACCGCGTGGCCATCGTCAGCGAGAAGGGCGAGGTGAAGGGCTTCCTGCGCGTGGCCGTGCAGGCCATCTCAGGTGCGTGCAGGCAGCCTCCCCCACAGCCCCGGCCTCCTCCGTCTCTCCCTGCAAGACAAGCCCTGCTGCCCGGCGCTCGGCTTGGGCCCCCGGGGCTCCTCCTGGTCGGCTGGGGCCTCCAGGGCCATGAAGGCCGAGCCCGGGGCTGTCTGAGGCTCCTCTGGCTCGGGCCCCCCACCAGGCAGCCTGCAGATGCAGCCTGGTGCAGAAGTGTGCCCCAAGCCCCCACCACAGTCTCAGCTCCAGGAAGGGTACACACACTCTGGCCCTTGGTCCCCTAGCCTTCCCGAGTCCCTAGCACGGCCCCCTCTGGAGCACATGGCTGCTCAGGTGCTGACCTGTGTCCCCAGAGGCCGTGAGCCCCTCCCCACCGCTGGCCAGCTGCTCCAGCCCCCACTGAGAGGCAGATGCCCCTCACTGCCCAGTCCCCTCCTGGCCGCCCCTCTGGGTTGGGGGCAGCCTCCCAAGGGAGGGCATCAGGTTTGCTGGGTTTGCTCCTCTGAAAGTGGATCCTCTGTGAAGCTTCTTAGGAGTGTGGAGAGATGCTTGAAGACGCATGGGAGCTGCTGGGCTGGAGGGTCCCTCCGCTGCAATGGCCAGTCTTCCTTCCCCACCTCCAGCCCCCAGCGCCTCCTCGGGCCTCTTCCTCCTCTCTCGAGGCTTGGCCTGGGCACCATGGGTGCCCCGTGTGCAGCTGAAGAGGGCCCGGGCTGGGACAGGGAGGTGCGAGGCGTGAGCAGCGTGGGTGGCCTGCTCTCCCACTGGGTGGCCCGTGTGTGCACACCCTGGATGTCTGGACCCCTGTGCCAGGTTCTCGCTTCCCCACGATCTCAAGCACTCTCCCCAGCTCCTCCAGCTGTGTGACCACGGTGCTTAGGCCCCTGGGGATGCAGCTGAGAAGGGGGAAGCTAGGGGTGGGCTGGCTTTAGGAACGAGCCAGGTGACGGCGATGCTGGGGCATCCAGTGCCGCCCTCCTCCCCCGAGGGGGGCCCAGGCCCTCTGGGCGCTTCATCCTCCCTGGTCTCTTCCTGGCCCTTCCTGACCCCTCGGCCCCTGTAGAGCGGGTCCCACCTGGCTGGCCGCTTCATAAACAGACAGGTCGGTGCTGTCTGTTTGGGCCGCACCTGATGTCCCCCGTCTGGGGGCTGAGCTGGAGGAGACGGCCACCCCTGCCCCTGCCGCCCCGCCATGGCAGGGGCCCTCCTGCGCACTTTCCCTGGGCCGCCCTGAGCAGTGGTGGGGTAGAGCCCTGGGCCCTCAGGCAACTGGGGTGGACACCTCGCTGGTGTTCGCACCCCCACAGGGCCCCAGAACAGAGGGTTGGAGCCGCCTGGCATCTGTGAAGTCTCCTGCAGCGGCACCTAGCCAAGTGGCTGGAGTTGGGGGCTGGGGGCCTAGAGGGGGCAGGGCTGGGGGCCTGGAGGGGGCAGAGCTGGTGGCCTTCAGGCGGCAGGAGAACGGTTTGGGTTTTGTCCCAGATGGTAGGCAACCCTGGACACTGGGGAGAAGTGGGTGTGAGAGCATGTGGGGTGTTGAGTGTCCAGCTGCGTGACGGGCGGAGGGGAGAGAGGTGGGGAGCCCGGAGGCACCTGGGTTCTGTTGCAGCGGCTGAGTCTGGGGTCAGGACTTGGGCAGGGGGACAGAGGTAGAAAGCTTGGCTCTGATAAGGTGGCGTTCACGGCCCCATCGGTGTGGCCGTGCCGACGACATGGCTGCTGCTGGGCCATGGGGCAGTGGAGGCTGGTGATCAGGGTGCCCGGGACATGCCCTGGTCATTCAGAACTGCTCAGCCGTGTCTGGGATCCCCCAGGCGGGTCAGAGCTACACCTGGTTCCAGCATCCCCCCCGCCAGCACTCAGACTGGACGTCCTGTCCCACCTGGGGACACGCTGGGCCTGACCCTCTGCTCCGTCCTGTTTCAGCCGACGAGGAGGCCCCTGACTACGGCTCCGGCGTCCGCCAGTCGGGAACAGCCAAAATCTCCTTTGACGACCAGCATTTCGAGAAGGTAGTGGGGTGGCCACGGATGCCACCAGATGGGCCGCCAGCCCGGCAGGGCCTCGGGGTGGGCGAGGACAGCGTCTTCCTCGCAGGCGCCCTTCCTGCTCTCGGGCAGCAGGCCTGATTGGGGAGCTCCCAGGCCCTGCCTGGACCGTGGTGCTCTGAGGCCTTCCTTGGGCCCAGGACCTCCGAGTCATCCCTCTCAGAGGGAGCACGGGGCAGAGCAGAGAGGGCCCGGGGTGGGGGCGGTGGGGGCCATGCGGGCAACTGGTGGGGGGCCTGGCTGGGCCCTGAAAGCCGCTGGGAGAGTCTCTCTACGGTGGGGGAGCAGGGGGCGGAGCTGAGGGAGGGGTCCTGGGTGGGCGGAGCTTATGGAGGGGCGGAGCTGAGGGAGGGATCCTGGCTGGGTGGGTGGAGCTTAGGGAGGGGCGGAGCTGAGGGAGGGGTCCTGGCTGGGGTGGGGGCGGAGCTGAAGCCCAGAGACGTGTCCCACCTTCCTTTTCCGCTGCGTAGACTGACAGAGGCACTCAGAGCCTGGGGAACCGAGGGCTAGGGAGGAGTCCACCCATGGCACGGGCCGGCCTGGTGGGCGCTCAGGGTCCCTGGCGGCGCTCTGTCCGACCCCGCCCCCGTCTGCACAGTTCCAGGCCGAGTCCTGCCCCGGGGTGGGCATGTCCCGCTCAGGGACCTCCCAAGAGGAGCTGCGTATCGTGGAAGGCCAGGGCCAGGCCGCAGACTCTGGGCCCTCGGCCGACGAGGTCAACAACAACACCTGCTCAGGTGGGTCCCCGCTGCCCACCTCTTGGCAGGCACATGTGCTGCAGGCCAGTCCCAAGCCCACACTCAGCCCTTTGGGTCCCTCCACACCCATCTGCCCTTGGCTCCCAGCAGCGGTGACCCCGGAGGGCCTCCTGGACAGCCCCGAGAAAGCCGCCCTGGACGGGCCCCTGGACGCCGCCCTGGACCACCTCGGCCTGGGCAGCACCTTCACCTTCCGTGTGACCGTCCTGCAGGCGTCCAGCATCTCTGCTGAATATGCCGACATCTTCTGCCAGTTCAAGTGAGCTCCGTACCCAGGCTGTGCGGGTGGGCCTTGGCAAGGCGCAGGCGCAGGGCACCTGGTGGCCCCCTTGAGGCTGGGGTGCCTGCACCCAGGCCCCACACCCACCGAGCATCTCCTCCTGGTTCGCAGCTTCATCCATCGCCATGACGAGGCCTTCTCTACGGAGCCCTTGAAGAACACGGGGAGGGGGCCCCCGCTGGGCTTCTACCACGTCCAAAATGTACGTCCTCAGGGCCCCCGTCCCCCTGCCGTGACCCACCCCTCCCGGGGCCCCAGCTTTGCTGGCCTCCCTGAAACCCCCGAGGTGCTTTCACTCGGTCACACCTTCTCCCTCTCCTGTGCAGCAGCCCCGGGCTGGGCGTGAGGACAAGGGCCTTGGGCGCCAGGTGGGGGCGTGTGTGCTCCTGCTGGGCAGTAGGGGCTTTGGGGGGCTTAAGGCTGGGGGTGGGGGCAGCCCAGAGCCCCACCGAGGGCCCCTGCAGCAAGCCTCAGTTGGATGTGGATGTGAAGGGTCTGGGGGCCCAGCGAGGCCACCCTGGCTTGGTCCTGGGGATGAGGTGGGGCAGAGCGTGCGGAGGGCCGTGGGGTGCCCAGGCAGAAGCCAGACAGGCCAGGGAACCCCCAGCCCGAGAAGAACTGGCAGACGGCGGGGACATGGTTCAACCCGCAACTCGAGCCAGGCTGTCAGGAGAGCAGGGGACTGTCTGCTGTGAGGCGGGGAAGCAGGGCCCTGACGGAAGCCGCTGGGTCACAAGACCTCGGGGACCCAGCGAGTGTGAGTTGGACCTGAGCTGTGGCTGTGCCCTGAGCAGCCACCTCGGCCTGGCTCAGAAGGGCCTTGTGGACTGTGGCTCATCCTGCCCCTCAGGGACGAGGGGCTCCGGTCGTCTCTAAGCCAGGGAGGTGGGGCCAGCTCTGCCAGGGCACTGCGTGGGTTCCTTCCCTGGCAGCCCAGCAGGGCCCCTCAGCCCAGGGGCTTTAACCAGGGGCTGCCTGCCTCTCAGCCCCTGAGGCTTAAGTCCGAAAGCCCGGTGGGCTCCGCGCTCCCTCTGAGGCCATGACGAGAACCAGTTGCCACCTGTCTCCCTGGCTCATAGATGGCCACCTTCCCCAGTATCCTCACGTCACGTCCCATGCGGGCCTGTGCCCAAGTGTCCCCTTCCTACGAGAACACTGGGCCTGTGGGGTCCCCAGTGACCTCATTCTAGCTCAATCGCCTCTGTGGAGACCCCTCTCTGACACCCGTGCTGGCAGTCAGGCTTCAACACGTGAGATGCGGGTAGTGGGGGACACAGTTCAACCCACAGTGCCGGGCAAGTGGACGAGAGTCCAAGCACGGTCAGGCCGGGTCGCAGAGACCCGTCCTGCAGCTCTGCGATCTGAAAGAGCAGCTGAGCCCAGGGGCCCTCAGCCCGTCAGTCCTGTGGGAGAGCCCGCGGGCCAGCCCGCAGTGGCCGGTCCACAGGGCGTGTGGAGGAGCAGGCTGGGCAGACCCAGGTGAGGTCAGCCCCGGGCTCTGCGGTCTGGGCCTGGGGTGCCGGGTGCTCCTTGGAGGCCGAGCTCTCCCCTCCCTGACTCCCCATGCCGCCCCCCGACCAGATCGCGGTGGAGGTGACCAGGTCCTTCATCGAATACATCAAGAGCCAGCCCCTTGTCTTCGAGGTCTTTGGGCACTACCAGCAACACCCGTTCCCGCCCCTCTGCAAGGACGTGCTCAGGTCAGCGGGCTAGGGCTTTTCGCCTCCAGGCTGGCAGGCTTGACCTGCGCTCTGGACGGGCCTGGTATGCTGGCTCTGGAGCCTTGTGGCCCCCCAACACCTCCTATCTGAGGCTGGACACTGTGCAGTCAGAGACGGCCCTGTGAGGCTGAGGAGGGGTCTTAGAGGGTCACTGTCAGAACCTCGGCCTGGCCTGGGTGACCCCCTGCCCTGCTCCTGAGCCCTCCGCCCTCCCAGGCAGGACGGGGGTGACTGGCCCTGCTCCCTCCCCTGCCTGGGGCTCTCAAGGTGGGTCCCCGCTGAGCCCCCCGTGTGTGGGGAGAGCAGCCCAGAGGATTGGGGGCAGTGGGGCCCCTTGTTGCCACCTCTGGGCACCCTCTATGCTGACGTGCGGGACCCAGGGCGAGTGTCGGCAGAGCAGGCCGGAGGGGCTGGTTCCAGGGCTCGCCTGTTCTGGGGAGGGGAGAGGCCTGCCTGGATTCCCAGGGCCTCATGGGGCCTCCCGGGGGGTCTCGAGCTCTAGGGTGCCCCCTCCCCGGTTGGCGGAGGCCTGAGGTCAGGCCTTTCCCAGGCCCCGTGGGAGGGGCACTGGCCTCTGGTCACTCACGGTCACTCTCCCCATCTGTCCCCACAGCCCCCTGAGGCCCTCACGCCGCCACTTCCCACGGGTCATGCCGCTCTCCAAGCCAGGTAGGCGGGGCTCTCCCGGCCGCAGGGTGCCCGTGTGGGCTGGCCACGCTTGGCCAAGTGTAGTCCTGCAAGGGCGTCCCTGCCCCCTAGCCTCCTGGCACCTCCCTGCCCCCCCCTGCTGGCCCTCCGGGGGCCCCACAGAGTCAGGGCTCCGTTCCAGAGCAGGGGCCACAGAGGGACATCTGGGAGGCTGTCCGTGGCTGGGGATGAGGGCCGGGGGCTCCCAGGGGGCTGAGCCCTGTAAACTGAACCTGCAGGACGGACTCTGTCTGAGAAGAGGCAGGCTCGGAAGCTGCTTCCCTGGGGGGAGGCTGGAGGTGGGCGAGCCCAGGAGGTCCCTGGAGGAAGGGCCCTGGGAGGTCAGCCGCACCTGGCACCCAGAGCAGAGGGGCTGTGGGCAGAGGTGGCTGGGCACACGGGGCACGGAGCCGGTGTGTTGGGAGCGGCCACACGTCTAGGGCGGCGGGGCCCAGGGCCTCTGTGCTGGAAGCAGGTACTTGGCATGGCCGAGCGGTCCCAGGCGGGTCGTGGGGCCTCAGAGCAGGCGTGGCTCCGGCCACTGCCTGTGCCCAGGTACATGGGGCTGCGGGCTCCTCCCACCTGGCACAGACAAGCCTGCAGTCACGCCCGCCCCCTGGGGTGGTGGCCAAGGCCTGTCTGTGCTCCGGGGTGGAGCCCGCCAGTCTTCCCCATGGAGGGCAGTGTCCTCGCTGCTGCTGGGGGTCTGCTCCCTGCCTCCTCTGCGCACCCTCACCCACGAGCGGCCTGTTTGCACCCACATCTCCTCTCTGTCCCCCCAGTGCCGGCCACCAAGCTCAGCACGCTGACGCGGCCCTGCCCAGGGCCCTGCCACTGCAAGTACGACCTGCTGGTCTACTTTGAGATCTGCGAGCTGGAGGCCAACGGCGAGTGAGTCCCGAGCCTGTGCTGCCCGCGCGGGGCGGGGCAGGGGTCCACCGGATGTGCAGGGCCAGGAGGGGCCTGGGGCAGCGGGTGGTGTTCCCCTGCCCTCTGCTCCGCCCCGGGGGGGCCGGCCGGCTGTGCGGCGCGTGCGGGGCGGGGCTGGGATCTGTGGGACCCTCTGTCCGTGCGGCGCGCTGGGGCAGCGGGTGGTGTTCCCCTGCCCTCTGCTCCGCCCCGGGGGGGCCGGCCGGCTGTGCGGCGTGTGCGGGGCGGGGCTGGGATCTGTGGGACCCTCTGTCCGTGCGGCGCGCGCGCAGGGCGGGGCCGGGCACACCCTCAGCCCTGCCGCCTCTCTTGCAGCTACATCCCGGCAGTGGTGGACCACCGCGGTGGGATGCCGTGCATGGGGACCTTCCTGCTCCACCAGGTGCGAGACCTCGCCGCCCCGCTCCCACCCCGAGCCCCGCCCCAACCTGGCCTTCCGCCTTCTGACCCTGCGCTCTCCCCTGGTGCTGGCAGGGCATCCAGAGACGCATCACCGTGACCCTGCTGCATGAGACGGGCAGCCACATCCGCTGGAAAGAAGTGCGGGAGCTGGTGGTGGGTGAGTGAGGGCTCACACAGGTGGGAGCAGCACAGTCGCCCCGTGCAGCCCCAGACCCGGCTCTGCCCCTGTTGCTGTGTGGTCTTGGCTGAGTCACTTACCCTCTCTGTGCCTCACCCCTCACCTGAAGAGAAGTGCAGGGACTCAGGCGATGATTCCAGACTTCTATTTAATCACCGCGTTAGCTTGCTAGGGCTGTCGTAAGGAAGTCCCGCACTCCAGATGGCTTGAAAGCCCAGAACATGGTCTTGTCGTGGTTGTGGATAAGGCCTGTGATGACGCTGTCAGCAGCTTGGCCATGCTTCCTTGAAGCCCCAGAGGAGGTCTTTCCTCCTCCTCTCCAGCTTCTGGTGGTTTGTGGGGAGCCCTTAGCTTGTGGATGCGTCACCCCAAACTTCAGTCTTCACGGGGCCTGGATACTTAGATGAGGGCCCACCCGGTCCAGCGTGACAGTGTCTCCCCTCCTCACGTCTGCCGAGCACCTGTTTGCACATGAGGTCACGTTCTGAGGTTCTGAGGGTCAGGACCACAACACGTTGTTTTGAGGGGACCCAATTCAGCTCACAGAGAGTGCCACGTCTTAGATGCTTTCCATCTGTAACTTTCTGCCGTGAACTCTTCCATCTTGGAAATGTTCCCTTTGCTGACTCTTTGCAAAGAATCTGTTTTCCCAGGTTCCGTTCTAAGACTGGAACCACCATCCCTCCCAGGACGGACCACTCCGTCCTCAGCGTGACGCCGCCTCCCCACCCCACCGCCCTGGAGATGAGGGACCTCTGAGGCCTCACCCCGGGTGTTGCTGTGGCCAAGGGCATCAGCTCAAGCGTGGCATCCCTGGGACTGGGGAGTGGTTCTGAGGGTGTAGCAGCAAGGATGTGACAGGGGCCCGTCGTCCTGCATCACTCGGTTAGGATCGTAGATCGCGGGGTTCTGGGGGCCCCAGGACAAACGTTTCATTTGAGATGTTCCGCGTCTTATTTCCACACAGATCAGAAGAACAGCAGAACAAACGCACACCCCCCTATTGCAGATGTGGTCTGGGGGAGAGGCCCAATGATTCCTTTCTGACTTAACAAAGAAAACTCAGTACTACTTGTTTATTCCTTGAGGAGCAGAGTGATCAAATTAACCATCACTGTAAGCTTAAGAAGATCCCCTGGAGGAGGACACAGCAACCCACCCCAGTATGCTTGCCTGGAGAGTCCCACGGACAGAGGAGCCCAGCGGGCCACAGCCCATGGGGTTGCACAGAGCCGGACATGCCTGTCTGACTACACACGCACTCAGGGGCGAGAAGTGGATAACGGAGGCACCAGGAGGGAGTCCTGGCTCGTGGCAGTTCTGGTGCCTTTTATAGACAGAGTCACCCCCGTGCCCCCACCACAAGTACAGGCATCTTAGAGGGCTTGGCTGGAAATAGCCCTTGCAAGGAGACATTTTTGACTCCGTGTTTCTCTTCTTTTTCTTAAGTATAAAAAGAGAGGAAACATTTTTTTCCTTCTCATCTTGCTAAGATGTCCTCTTCCAACGAGTAGGAGGGCCTGTGGGTTCCAGGCTGGGTGATTGGAACCTATCAACTGGGGTGGGGAGATATTGCAAGAGTTATTTATGGCTGAGAGACTGAGAAGCTCAGAACTTAGGCTGCAGGAGGACATCCACTGACAGGCAGCGCCATGGGCAGCAGTCACTAAATTGTGTCCAACTCTTTGTGACCCCGTGGACTGCAGCACGCCAGGCTTTCCTGTCCTCACCATCTCCTGGAGCTTGCCATACAACCATCTCATCCTCTGTCGTCCCCTTCTCCTCCTGCCCTCAGTCTTTCCCAGCATCAGGGTCTTTTCCAAAGAATTAGCTCTTCATATCAGGTGCTTCAGCTTGAGTATCAGTCCTTCCAATGAATATCCAGGGTTCATTTCTTTTAGGATCGACTGGTTTGTTCTCCTTGCTGTCAAAGGGACTCTCAGGAGTCTTGTCCAACACCACAGTTCAGAAGCATAGATTCTTTGGTGCTCAGCCTTCTTTATGGTTCAACTGTCACAACCATAGATGACTACTGGGAAAGCTATAGCTTTGACTGGATAGGCCTTTGTAAGCAAAGTGATGTCTCTGCTTTTTAATACACTGTCTAGGTTTGTCATAACTTTTATTCCAAGGAGCAAGCATCTTTTAATTTTGTGGTTGCAGTCACCATTCACAGTGATTTTGGAGCCCAGAAAAATAAAATCTGCATTGTTTCCACTTTTTCTTTATCTATTTGCCATGAAGTGATGGAATCAGTTGCCATGATCTTGAGTTTTTTGAATGCTGAGTTTCAAGCCAGCTTTTTCACGCTTCTCTTCCACCCTCATCAAGAGGCTCTTTGGTTCCTCTTCACTTTCTGCCATTAGGGTGGTGTCACCTGCATATCTGAGGTAGTTCGTATTTCTCTCAGCAGTCTGGATTCCAACTGCAAAGCCTGCATGGGCCTCCCTGCGCCTCTCGGTGTTGCCTTTAGCTGGGTGCCCCTGTGGCCGTGTGGGCAGCCCTGTGGCATGGCCTTGTAGCCGGAAGCTCCTGCCCAGGCAGAGGTGGAGAGCGGGGACCTGGTGCCCACCTGCACTCCTGGGGAGTGACCTGCGGCCCGCCCCCCTTCCCGCAGGTCGCATCCGAAACACCCCGGAAACGGACGAGTCTCTGATTGACCCTAACATCTTGTCACTCAGCATCCTCTCGTCCGGATACATCTGCCCGGCCCAGGACGATCGGTGAGTCCGCTCGGGGTCGGTGCTCTCTGGAGGAGGGCCTGAGTCTCAGCCCCCCACCTGGCCTGCCCAGCTGCGCAGGGCTCTGAGCTCTCCAGGCTTTCTTCCTGGCCCTCCAGGAGGTGGTGTGGGGAGGGGCCCGTGGCCGTGTGGTCCCCTGGCGAGCTGTTGCTCGCTCACCTGATGGAGGGGCACGTGGGCGTGGCTGGCGGAGGAGCCGGGTCCTGTCCTCAGGACTCTTGCGGGCGTGAGGCAGCATGGGGCAGTGGGCAGACGAACGGGCCGGATTTCCCAGCCACGCTGCTGTGGGCACATGTCCTGTTTGGCAGGCATCCTCCCTGCGGCCCAGGGTCCTGGAGGAGCTCAGGGTCGAGCCGGCCGGTGGTCTGGCATCCCGGGGTGGGGGTGTGCCCAACGGCATGGCTTGGCACACGCTCCTCCTCACTGGGTTTGCCGGGCTTGGGGGTTTTGGGGGAGAGGCCTCTGGGGGCCAGGCTGGGGTGGACAGCTCCCTGCCAGAGCCACCCTCCTGTGGGGACGTTGGTAGGCTTGGCTTTGTCTGAGACACTGCTTCCTGGGGGTGTGGGGACGTGGGGAGGGGGCTCCCAAGTCCCGAAGGCTCAACCTGGTCCAAAGGGCAGAAGCCAAGAGCTGACCCCGAGCTCCAGCCGTGGGCATCTCCATGGGCTCTTGAGCCATGTTTGCAGACAGTATCTTGAGGGCTGGGTGCGCTGGAGCAGGTGGGGCCCCCCTTGCCAGGGGAGCTGGATCCATAAGGATAAAGGGTCCTGGTCCAGACAGAGCTGGGCTTCCTCGCAGGCTCCCCGGAGAGGGGGCAGCGACCCCGCAGGGGCAGGCGTGGCTCTGTTCCAGCCCTGCCCTGGAACCTTCTGGAAGAAACGCAGCCTGCACTCGTGTCCAGAGGAGGGAGGGTTGGATGAGGATGCTGGGGGTGTTCTCTCAAGGGTGGGGGCACCATGACAGGCAGGCCGGGCTTAGGGGAAGGGAGGTGCGGCACATGTGGGTAGGCCCTTCGCCATGGGGACACATCCTGGGGACCTGGCAAGAGGGCCTGGAGCCCTCTCACGGGCTGCCTGCGGGGACACGGGCCTCTGAGGCCATACCTTGGGTGGGCCCGAGGGGACCCGTGTTACCAGGGAGGCTGACCTCAGCGTTCCCCCAATCTCTGACCCTCCCTTTGTCCTGGCAACACCTCCATTCTTGGGCTAGAAGGGGAGTGGACCGGGGAGAGGAGGGGGGCGTCGGTGCCTCTGGGGCCGTGTTTCTGGGCTCCCGTCCTCTGGCCGGCACAGTGGCTGCGGGACACGTGGCCAGCCCCGTCCTGGGCTCCGTCCTGGGGAGCTTAGGGGGCTGGACCTCGGGTCAGTGGGGCTTTGGCTGAAAAGGTTCGCCCTGCTCCTGGAAGTCAGAGCATCCATCACTGGCGGGCCCGGCCTGTGCCCTGGGGACCATGGGACGAGAGGCCAACTCAAGTGCGGGAGGTCAGGGCCCCCGGGGCTCCAGGAAGCCCTCGACCAGAGTCCCTGCCCGCAGCTGCTTTGGCCCTTGCTTGGCTCCCCCTCTCCCTTGCTGTCTCATTCCAGCACGGCCCTGACCCAAGCCCCGCCCTGGGGAGAGTCTCGGGGACCCCCTCAGCGAGCGGCCCCAGGCAGGCGGCGTGCAGAGGCTTGGCTGGTTGACCAGCAGCTCCCCCAAGGGCCCTCTGTCCCCTGGACCCTGGCTGACGTTCTCGGAGCTCCGCGGGTGATGGGGCAGCCCCTCTCCCTACCGGGAGACCCGGGCCGGCCTTGGGCCCCGCGCCTCAGCTGCCCGCCTGCTTCGCCGCAGCCCCGCCCCCCGATCCCCGCTCAGGGTCCCCAGGCTGTGCGGCCTCCCGGCTCCGCTGGGCCGCCTCCGCGCTGCCCCGCCTGCTCTGCTGCTGCCGCCCCCGGCCCCCCCCAACTAACCTGTGATTGTTTGTGTTTTGCAGGCAGTTTCTTGATTCGGACATGCCTAGGTACCATCCGTGCCCCTGGTTTCTTTCAGCCTGCCCCCACTTCACAGCCCCGAGATCTCATTCCAGCTTTCGGGCCCTTCCACACTCGCTCACCTCCCCGTCTGTCTCTGCTGTCTTCTCCTCCCGTTTTATTTCCTTTTTCCTCTCCCCGTCACACCGCTTCCTCCCCATTGCCCTCTGCCCACCCCCCCCACCCGTGGCTGAGCACCCCTGCCCTCCACTCTCGATCTTGGCTGCTTCGGTAGTTTCTGCCCTTGTAGAAGATGGCTGGCCTCCCGTTCCCCTCCACCCCCTGAGCCTTGCCCGTGCCCCACCCCGCCCCAGCAGGAGCAGGCTCCCGCATGCAGGCTGGCCGGCCCCCTCCCCGCACACTGAGAGAGCAAAGGGGGTGTGTAGTGGGCACAGGACGGGGGGCAGACAGGTACGGCCCGGCCCAGCCCTCCCCGCTCTGCCCCGCTGCCCCAGGTGCGGGCCCCCCACCCAGCCAGGCTCCTGGAGAGGCCGCCACACACCCTTCTGGAAGGGGGTGGGTGGTGAGGGGCGAAGGGCCCGGGCTCCGGACTCGCTGGTCCCAGGACCAGCCCCCGAGTCACCGGCTCCTGGGCCGGGCACGGAGATCCCTCCCCACCTGAGCTCTGGCCTTGGCGACCCGGAGCAGGGTCCTGGAGACCCTGGGGTGGACGGCCTCGCAGTCCCTGTTACAGACGCTGTCCTTGAGGCCGCGGTCTGCTCTGGGCCCCTGTGGACTGTGGCCAGAGCTGGGCGTCCTGGTGTCTCTGTTCTGAAAGAGGAAGGGAGCAGCAGAAGACCTCCAATGAGGACGCCTGGTCCTTGAAGGGGCGCAGGGCGCGGGACGGTGCCTGCCCCTTCTCAGGGTGGGGCCCAGAGCACAGGGTGGGGTCAGGTCTGGTGCAATGTGTTGGGATGGATGGTCATTCTGAATGTGCCCTGGGCAGCTCTAGCTGAGGCCTCAAGGGGTGGTCAGAGGCTGTAGTTCCTGTGAGCGTGTCCCCAGGGCATGCGCACCCGAGGCAGGATCAGGCCCTCCCTGGGAGCAGGCAGCTGGCTGTGAGGGGGACTCTGTCAAGGAAGACCTGTGGTAAGGCTGCACTAGAGGAGGGTCACATCCCTGTGGGGCCCAGAGAGCATGGACCTGCCCCTCTTGGGTAGCCTGGAGGGCTTCCTGGAGGTGTCAGCCTGCCAGCTGGCCCTGGAAGCAAACTGGGCCCGCCATGGCAGCTGCAGCCTGCAGTCCGCCTGTTCTCAGAGAGCTCTGGGGTTCATCCCTGGAGGGGACCCGACTTCGGGCCTGTTTCCTTGATAAGTCCATCAGTACGATGACACAGGGGTATGGGCATTTTGTTCCAGTTTGCGTGTCCACAACCAGCCCTGTGTGACAGAGGTGTGTACACCCCCTGCAGATACATCACGAAATAGAAACATTCCCTGTGGCCAGAAGGAGACCGCCTCAGGGTGGGGTGGGGGTGGGGCTCCTACTCAGCAGGACCTAAGCACCAGCCCCCAGGCTGCAGAAGGGCCTCACCCCAGCCCCTGGGTGCAGAGCGCAGTGGCCTTGGCCTGCGAGAGGAGGCCCAGAGTGCTGGGAAGGGTGAGGGGTCAGAGCCCTGAGCCTTGGGCTAGCGCCTGCTGCATGCAGCAGGAAACTGCTGTGGTGGGAGGTTCTGGGGATGAGCAGAGGGTGCCCTCTTGATGTCTGGGCTGGGGTGGGGCTTGGGGGCTGCACCGGCTGGCCGGGCTGGCTGTGTGAACGTGCACGTGTGGCAGGATCTTCTGGAGCCTGTGGTCTGTCCCCTAGGCCGGGGACTCTGAGGGCTGCCTCATCGTGTGAGACTAAATGAGATGAACGGGACAAGCTCTAAGGAGGGGCCTTGCACGTGGAATTTTATTAATGTGTGTAGTGTGGTTATTTTCACTGCTACCTTGTTGTTCAGTCACTCAGTTGTGTCCAACGTTGTTGTTCCCTCGCTCAATCGTGTCTGACTCTTTGCGACCCCAGGGACTGCAGCACGCCAGGCTTCCTTTTCCTTCACCATCTTCCAGAGCTTGCTCAAACTCACGTCCACTGAGTCGGTGATGCCATCCCACCATCTCATCCTTTGTCATCCCCTTATCCTCCCGCCTTCAATCTTTCCCAGCATCAGGGTCTTTTCCAGTAAGTTGGTTCTTCAAATCGGGTGGCCACAGACTGGAGTTTCAGCTTCAGCATCAGTCCTTTGAATTAATATTCAGGACTGATCTCTTTTAGGATGGACTCGTTTGATCTCCTTGCCATCCAGGGGACTCTCTAGAGTCCTAGCATTTAATTTGAAATGCTTCTAAAGCACAAACCTCCTCAGCAAAGAGCCTAGTTTTTTAAAAGCTAACCACACCCGTTTTCCAGAGGAGCCCTGCTGAGATGCTGGGGTCTCACTCTCACAGTAGGGAGTGAGGAGGAGAGGTGATGACCCAGCCTGACCCACGAAGAGTGAGGTCAGACCTTCCACCTTCCACCCCATCCGTGCATCTTACCTGGGCTCACTCTCCTGCCCTGGGCTCCTGGTGCCTGGGGCAGCAAGGGGCCACAAGACCCTATAAAGTAAGGCAGTGTGAGGCTGGGGAGGACAGTGGTCCACAGTGATCCTAAAGTAAGGTGGCGTTGAGGCTGGGGAGGTCGGTGGTCCATGGTGACCCTCACCCCTCTCACCAAGCACAGGATCGGATTTCTCCAGACAGGTGGCTCAGGTGCCCCAAGGGCTGCCCCAGCCTCCCTGGGACGGGCCCGGGTTGGGAACTTGTGAAGTCTCTTCTCTGTCCTGTTTGCTGCACCATCGACAGGACATGACCCCCACTCACTCATCCATTCATCCTTCACACAGGGCATGACTCCTACTCATTCATTCATTCATCTGTCACATGGACACGACCCCACTCATTCATTCATCACACGGGACACGCCCCCCACTCACTGACTCATTCATCCGCCACA